CTTTATCGCGCGCGTCCCTGTTTCAAAAACCGGGATAAAAACTATCCTATGTTCTTTCCCGGGACTCAAACTATCTCTATGCCAAATTTCATCAAAATCGGTTGCGAGGTTTAAGCGGGAAAGCGTAACAGACAGACAGACAGACAGACAGACAGACAGACAGACAGACAGACAGAGTTACTTTCGCATTTATAATATTAGTTGGGACTAGTTGGGATGGATACGAAGCACGCTCATCACGTCAAAGTTATGGCTAATTCTCCATTCAATACCAAAATATTGAAATCAATAAAAATGTTGTCCAGAAAAAGCGAAAGTAGGTACGCGCCTATTTAACATGTGTGTGTCTTGCAATGAACTTTCTCTTTTAATTAAGTGGACTGTGGGCGCCTGTTGCTGATTACCATCATACAATTTACGGTCAATGTTTTTAAACACTCGTTAAGCACGTTTAGAAGTCGTTTTGGTTAACTCGAATGAATGAAAGCCCTTTTCTTAGTATCTTTCTCATTACAATGAGTACACGATATCTTTTATGTATTTGCCGATTGGCGTTTCCCAAATCTCTAGCTAATTAGTTCAGCATGCAGTGAATGTTTGAATAAATCTGTCTCAGTTTAGTTTCCACTCATTTATTTTTGACATAAACTACTATAACCACGAACAATTTATAATGCAACTTGCAGTCACTTGTCTGCACGAAAATTGCATCAACAAACTCCACTATATTGAAATTTTGAAAAATCATAATTATGTCAATGTTAAAAACCAAATTCGTTTAACAACATTGCCTAAACGGAACATTCATATTTTGAAAGGCATTTTTACTATTAAACTAGTTAAAGTGACCTAGTAAGAAACTGGTTTATTTGTTTTGAAAAATACAGTGAATTGAGGGTACGGTACTAGGCACGTGTTTGATGATGCGGTGATGGCTGCCGTAATGTTGTGTACCGCAACTCGTAACATATTTTGTTGCTTTGACGTAGGTCGTACTTCTTACTTTTTTCCTTTGTCCGCGGCTTTTGTGTTGGTGGTCAAGTTGTAGACCCTGGAGACAGGAGTCGCAGTGGTGGGAACTAGACTTCAAATTAGTCCCGATTCTGTATGCGGCTTCATTAAAGAGACTTCACACATTATTAACACGGTCAAAAATTTTTTAATTATTCTGAAAGGCATCAGTAAATTTTCATACGGTATAATCATGTGAAAAGTAAGGATTAAAATAATAACCTGCAAAGTGAGGATTAATAATGTGCAAAGTAAGGAACGATTTATTTGACTCCCATGGATATTTTAATGATTGCATTAATTTGAAATCCGGTATCATTAATGATGAATTGCATTCGCTGTACGATTATAACGAACTCCTAGCAAGAATTGGTTGGTAACAACTTAACAAGTTCGAAGGAAGAGCCGGCCGAACTTTCGATGCTGCCTGTTACAAGGTCAACAGCTTTCGCTGCCAAACTAAAGGTGACTGGACAAGTTTTTGCGACCCTACCAGAGGTCTCGCTGTCGTTCCAAAGGTGCTAAGTACAAAAGATTCAATAAAAACAAATTAGCATCACAAGTTTTTATTTCCAAACTTGTTTTTTCTCCGTGACGCATAGTGACTGAGGCAGTTAAGTTAGCATTATTTGCTGTAGTCAGGATTCACTTGAATCGGATGAGTCACAGACAAATCGCCATCCCATGATCATAGCGATTATCTGAATGCTTACAGAAGACATTTATAGAAATAGAAGTTTCCCTTAACTAATTTTTATGTTCGGTGCACACAATACTAAAACAAAGTGGTGTCTTTTATGTCGATAGGAAGTGAGGAACATCTGTTGACACTTAAACAGGTTTAATGTTCCAGTTACAGAGTACAGCTGGTTTTACAAACTTGTAACTAAATTGTGAACAGCTGTTGATATTTTGAAATTGGTATTTTAATGTTATTGTTAGTTATTATTAACACAAAATACTTAATTGTTATTTTGTAATAAAGATGATTATGGTATGAATGTGAAGGATACACGATAGCATGTTTGTTTGGTATTTTAGAACATTCCTCAATAAAAAGTGATGGCTGGAATCATTCAATAGTGTTCTATGCAAATGAAGCTTGCGTGCGAAATCTTTACGGTTACGTAATCATGAAAACGAAAGTTCAATAGATAAACGACTTGGCGTATTTGCATAAATGTAAGCAAACCGTAATTATCATGGAGCATAATGCTAAAATCTGCCCGAGCAATTATTCCCGAATGTTAGACACGGGTTTGCTCACATAATGACGCGGTTGAAATAGAAACCAAAACAAAAGCTCGTAAAACCCGACATAGTTAAGTGACGTAACACTTCATCGTGGAAATAAAACAATGCGATGAGTGTCGTACTGTCATCGTAGCAATTACAATAGTCTTATGAATTGTGATACATCTGGAAACACTTACAAGGTTTATGCAAGATTGTGATGCGTCGTTAGGCGCGACCAAGAAAGCGAATCTACATTTTTTATCCAAATCATCTACATATATTATAGATGTAGATTTAACAGCATAACCGTTTAATAAATTCTTCTTACTTAACCTCCATTGCTCGTTTTAACCGAGGGTTCTAGTTTGCAAAAACCAAATGCGGCATTTGACCTACTTGCGTAATAAGAACGGTTTTTATAGTCGGCACTACGGAAGAGCTGTGTGGATAATTTATTGTATGAGGTATGCTCTTGTATGCAACTATGAATTTACTTTGAACTACTTTTAATATCATTATGTATCTGGACTAAGTTACAGCGGACCTCACATAATCATTTTCTTAATATCACAACACACAGAAAACCTACTTGTTTTATTCTTGTAATATTAAGGCACTCAGTTGAACTACGTATTGCGCTAATTGTAATAATAAGGCCTCATTGTTTTGATCAAATACATCACACAACACAACCAATCAATGTGGGCGAACTTGTTTACGTTGTCACGGAAACTGCCAATGTTTCATGTAGGTAATACCACGGCACGGGTAATACCTTTAGAGTTCTTGCCTGTGACAGATACAAGTTATATCTAGTCTAATTAAAAAAATTAAACGCAGAGATTTCTCAATAAAACCTACTACATACCATTTGGTCCGTATGAGACAAAATTCTCTACATGAAACAACATAAGCACAGACATTATCATAGGTCTCCACAAAAGTTGTTTCTAAATTTTTAATGTTTTCCTCTTATATTATTGTCCTAATCTCAATAGTGATTCATGCATTCGTCACAATCACAATGATTACATTTAATCACTGCCTTGGATTAGCATACTTTAGAAAAACAAGTTTTTAGCCTCACCGGCAAAGCCACGTGCATTCGCTTCAAATTTTATAAATGCAGAACGTGTTAGAGTGCATTCACTCGCTGCCCCGACCTGCGCTGCCCAGGTGCACTTCGTTTGGTAAAACTTCATAGCGGCACGCGCTCCACTCGAAAATGTTAAAAATTAAGCGTCATTTTAATAGAGTTTACTGCTATTACTCGAAAATGTTAAAAATTAAACGTCACTTTAAATTGAGTTTACTGCTACTGCGAGTGTTGCAGCTTTACCAACTCAGGCTTAAAAATGAGTTTACATAAAAAAACAAAGTCATCTTGTAGAGTTCTGTGGTTGAGTAATTCGACAGTGATTCAATTCCTCATGTTAAGATATCTGGGGGCACGGCAGTGCCCCCACCAAGTCGAGCAAAAAAGCGGCACGGCCGTACCATCCTTTTCTCGAAGCAATTCAGGCCATTTTCGACCGCCTGTAACTTCGTTGTGGATAAAACTAGAAGGCTGAATTTTCATTAGCTATGCAGGCATTGTAAAGACACGGTATATTTAAAATTTCATTCAATTTGAACCAGTAGTTTAAGAATTATAACGGGTCAAAGTTACTTAATTTTGTCACTCACTGACTGACTCACTGACTCACTGACTCACTCACTGACTCACCGATCATCAAAACTCTAAGGCACTTCTAGCAGACCTAGAAGCTTCAAATTTGGAATATAAGAAGTGTTTGGTGTATGAATCAAGGAAAAACTAAAATATTTGGGGGCACGGTAGTGCAACCGCCAAGTCGAGTAAAATTTTTCAATTTCGGTCCAGTTTTCTAGATACATAACTGCTGTCTACAAAATACAAAAAGAAATGAGATCCCATCAAAAACAATACTTGTCAAAAAAACCAAGTCTCGCAACTCAGTTGTTCTACGGTAAAAAGTTGTGAGATCCATGTAATACCAAGTCCAGGCCAGGAAATCTTTAACGTTTTACATAAATATATTGACTTGGTCATCGCATGAAAACACGTGTAAATAAAATTATTTAGTGCGATGGCCAAGTCAATAATTTATGTAAAACGTTAAAGATTTCCTGGCCTGGACTTGGTATTACATGGATCTCACAACTTTTTACCGTAGAACAACTGAGTTGCGAGACTTGGTTTTTTTGACAAGTATTGTTTTTGATGGGATTTTATATTCTATTAGGATCTCCACAAGTAACACGTCTAAAAACTTCAGTAGACCAGAAGTGGCAGGCAATTAGTTTCGCGGGTAATCAATTAAAGCTCAGCTAACAACTTGCGTGCCCAAAGGCGTATCTCGTGTGTCTCGTGCTGAGGTGTAATTTCATTTAACGACTTGATTGAACTGTACACTTCCAAGTTGTTAAAAAAGATAGTTGGTATCGCGTATCGCATCGCAACGTGCTTATTTTGGGTCGCTGCTGCTTAATTCAGAGGGGGGAATTGATTAATCGCCGACTGGGGTGGCAGATGTTCAGCGGGCTCCTGTTGGATGGCTCGTGGCTGCTATTGTACTGCACTACTTTTTGTTTTGTTCGACAGTTCGCTCGCCAAAAAACGTTGCCACACAGCCCTATTGAGAGAACTCAAAATAGAAACCAGATTTTTACAAACATGACCGTTTGCAATTCCCATCGAACAACCTCATAACTTGCATTTTGTTTTGTTACAGACGTTGGATTTCGACAGAGATGGCCTGACCAAACTAAAGAAAGCAATAAAGGCGATACACAATTCTGGAAATGGTACGTGACATCCAATTATTTTACGACTTCGCGATAAAGATTTTGATGAATATGCGAATCTTCCTCCGAGATAAACGCAGTTCTATAACCCTTATGAGCGTTGCAGATGATGTCATACACAAAATATTGTGAACGATTATATCAATCGGTCCATTTGTATTCTCGCTTCGCTTCGACTTATCCAGGCGACACGAGAAACGAGACCTTTCTATAAATATGTGGAGGAAGTAACGTGAATAGATGGGACTGGAATAGACGAAATTCCTGATGCATATTTAGAGACGTGTTCGAAGCGCGTGCGCTTAGAGCGAGCCGACGCGGCTTCGTCGACTGCAACACGGATGCAATCATCACATTTTACAGATTCCACTACAAAATAGCTGCTTTCAAACATATCAATCGAGAAACCAATGCCTTTTCAAATTCGTGCTCTAATGTCGCACCATCTCGTTCTATTACATAACGTTATTTCGCTATCCATCCCATTTTCTCCCGCTTCGTGACTCGGCTAAGCCAATAGGCAATAATTAATTCTATAGCTATTGATTTTCTTTGTTCCTTTGATGTGAATGCACTCTGTCACATGTTACGAGGACTGTGCCATTGCAGCTACTGTATTCATATGTTAATTTACTAACATACCTCCCTACACGTTTGACTGAAATTTTAAGATAAGTGGATTTTGGAATTGAATAGCATAAGAATACAATTGAAGAACGAAACAAAATTAGAATCGGAGTAGTCGTCCATTGTCCAACCACACAGCTGAAGCAGCTGAACTGAGTATCAACTGTTTACCTTCTTTGTCAAATGGGCTCATTGCTACTGTTACACTGCTCTTATAGAGTCGTGATTTGTCGAGTCAGCAAACCGTGACAAAGTTGAGTAAATGAACTGAATGAATGCAATTTTTCCGAGAAGCAGATCGGGCTTCATAGAGCCTTGCAATTTGCGGCTGACTGCAGGCGAAAGGCTAAATTACTCCATATAGCCTAGTAGTGTTACATGCTCAACGCAGAACCGGCTCCCTAGGACGAGAGGTCGTTCAACCCACTGAACTAGAATGACCTAAATATCGCAACAATGATGCCTGTGGACTGACGATGATTATTTGTAAATACCTCCAACTCCAGACCAATTCTAAACAATTCAAATTAGGTTACAGACATACAATGAGAAATGTCTTTGACAGGCAGTTTTGGAATATGGGTCATTNAAAGTATCCAGATGCCTGTTTTACTACAAGAAGTATGTATCTTAGAGCTAAAGTTTGTGATGCTCTAGGAGAGCATCACTTAACGCTTTTAAGTGTAGTTCTGACAAGTAGCTTAGTTATTTGTTTGTTCAAACAAGTCTGTTTTCTGAATGATTAGTGCATTTCCACAATTTCATTGGAGAAAAGTGTTTCTTTCTGTTCTTATAAAAGAAAAGTCCTCTATCCAACGAAAGTCTTCGCAAAGTCACTATCTAAACATGACCAGTTATGAGAAAATGTTATCTGTGAGAAAGCTCTGTGACCATCCACGTTCATAAAGACTGCAAGCGTTTATAGATGGTAATTCTGCTTTCTTAAAGATAGTGAAGCAATCTCGCCGAGACCGCGGTGTCAATGCCACCAAATAAGGGGACACAAAATGCAGTTTCTCGCCTGTCTTCAAAGAGTTGTGTAAATAATATAAGTCGACTTAAGTTTAAAACTAGGACTTGGCTAAATTCTTTGTCAGGGAACTTACTTTATCAAATTACAGAGACACATCACAGTTTGACTGAAATATTTTGGTTATTCTTTTGCCTACCTAGCTGCCCAATAACTTAGTATAATAATGATAAATAATGTAATACATATTTACATTGTAAAGTTTCAACAAATTAAATACGAGTAGCCGTTGCTTGGTTGACCGCGACTTCGCGAGAATTTCCCTTGTATGACTTGTCAACGAAAGTGGGTCGATGTCTGGTTTCGCTCGCCACAGGCGTATAGCTAGCCATATTAGATTATTGTTTCCGATTTTAGCTATCGGGGGCGACTCCCTAGCACCTGCTCCGCAGCTTCAGACTCCTTCAATTAGGCAGATTCGTGAATAATGTATTTTATTACCGTTGCCGCGTTGCTTTTATTAATATTTATAGTGTGAAATGAAATTTTTTGCAACAACTTTAACAATATTGGATTAGATTAGATAAAATAAAACCTATAAAAATATTACGTGTACTTTTGCGATAGCGAACCAATGTCATGCTCAGCGATAAAGTGCATTCGAACTTGATAATTTCATTTGCCACACGTTTGTGATGAATCGCTCGAGTAGTTTTTATTTTGTTTGCGGTATCCAGAACATGCAATACTGAGGCTTGCAGGCAATGCAATTCCATCGCGTGCGGAGGTTTGTTTATTGGCTGCACGCCTGCGCCCGCGTCGCCGCATGAAACTGGTCGCGCGGGTTCCGATTGCACAGCCGGCAAGGTCGTGCGCGCGCCTGCAAAAACAACCAATCAACGGGCCCTCAATACGCACGAAGAACAATCGAGTCGAGATCCTCGACCGTTCGATATAGCATGCTTCCTTTGTCACACTGCACACGCTAGAAAACCATTTCCAGCCAGCAATAGTCCCTTCACAACAATCAAGTCTCGACAGCTAAAATAAATGCGATTTAAAATAGCTGTGCAGAATGCACAAGGAAAAATTAACATTATAACTTTATATTTCTGCGAAGTAGCACCAGGCCAAAGCACAATGAATTAACACAAAGGTGAATTAGATCTTCTGAATGTCGGATTCGTTGGGAATAAATACCAATGTGATGATATCGTATTAGCGATAATAGCTCGAAATTGGATCTAATCCAAAACCGCAGGTCGTTTATTGGAATAGCGTTGTTCTTTTTGCGACTAGTTTGTTGACGTTAATAAAACCTGGTAAATTGAAAGTTATTTTTCATTTGTTTGTTTAGTATGACGTCATTCAACTGCCCATTCTTGATGAAAGCTCGAAGACTTCGTTTAGCCCATACAAAGTGGAGGCAAACGACGAGCCTGTGTACAAATTGAAAGGCTAGAGTCAGTGCTCTGCCATTTAATATGCAGAGAGCGTCGGCGGGATTGAGCTAGCCAAAGTGGGCCGCGACACGGATCTCTGACGCCTCTTTCATCAGTTTACCGACCATTTCTCCTTGGGTTGAAGATATATTTCTCTTACAAATAAGGATATACATAAACCACAAGGGTATCCCCTATTATCTTCAAAATCTCAAAGAACAGAAGATTAATAACGTATCCTTATGGAGCGGAACTCGTAGTTTGGTCACTTAAACAGTTAGACTAAGGATTATTAATTTACCGAATTCCATTTGATTGCTGTAGCGAAGTGGAAGTGCCACGGTTAATAGTTACGGTCTTTCTCTACAACTTAAGATGGGAGTTATTCCAACTGAGAAACTAATTAAATATCCGGCAGCAAGCAAAAGGAACAAAACTCCGAGCGATTCGCTTCTAGAAAAATTAACTGAAAATTTAATTTCAAAAGATACGCTGTGTGCTACATAGTTGTTCAAGAATTCTAGTTTACGGTCACTAGAACTTGACTGTCTTTCTTGATATTAACGAGGACAGTGTTTTACTATCTTTTAGCAGCATAGGAATGTGTGGTTACAGCATAGAGATGATCTGCTATTGATCTGCTGTCATATGTATAATTTTTTCTGTCTGCAGCTCACGTGGACAACGAGATGTATCTCTCCCGGGCCCTTGAGCGGCTCGGGGGAAACGCACTCAGCAGGGACTCAGAACCAGACATCGGCGCCGCCTTCTTCAAGTTTGCAGTGGTCACAAAAGAACTGTCAGCGCTAATGAAGACCCTGGTGAGCATAAGAAAACAAAACACCATATTCAAGTAGACAGCATGCCTAAAGATCGTAATTTGTGTGACTAAAAGTAGTTTAGTCACAGTCATGTACCGTGAAATAATGCGTTCTCAAACTACACCGCTTCAAATTTATATTGTACAGTGTGTATATCCCCAAAATCTCATTGTCATCAAAATTTTAAACGAAAATTATAGCAGAACACGCCACAATTTCAGCGTGTTTGCACAAAAAGGCAACTGCCGGACGTTAGCCGACATAAAATCTATGTCAGGAATCAAGATTATCTCTTTAATATCCGTCATGTTTAATCGTAAGCGATAAAAATTGTATCGTAGGCGAGATTTATATGCTCATCCTAATTTTCACTCGTTCATTTGGGCTCGACACGGTCGGAGTAATTTTGAGCGCTGCGGCTCGTGGGTCGTGACAGTCCACGGAGTGTGAAATGAAACAAGCGTATCAAACATCAGCCATCCACCCTCGTGGATAAAGTAATCTGAAGCCGTCGCAATAGCAAACGGAAATTATGCTATTGAGGGAGCGGTGAGGGAGCTTGCGGCGGATGTCTACAGATCTCCGCGGAGCAAACGACCGAGCTCAACTATTGATGTGCCGTTCCCGAGAACGCTCTCTCAGCTGAGAATATTCTCGGGAGCGTTCCCGGGAGCGTTCTCCTAAGTGAGAAAGGTTGAGAATCATGTTTATCTAATGGAAATAAACAAACTTTCTTAAGTAAAATAGTATTAAATTAAGTTAACAGATAAGTGTATATTAAACAATACACTCTATTTGCAGTGAAAGGCTATATTCTCAGTGTTCCCGAGAATATTCTCGGGAACTTTCTCGGCAATATTCTTGGCAACTGCACCTTTATTATATTTTATTTTTTTCGTCGTGAAATGCCGTTTTAATGATATGTAAGATGACAGAAATTTCTTTTTACACGTAATTAAATAATGTAACTGTCCATTTTTTCGTTTTTAACACGCTCTTATTAGGTCGTCGTGTATATGTAACTAACTATGTAATGGAATCTTAGAATCGGAATTACACGCAGTTCTAAGTCTTGTATCATCATGAAACTTGGATATTATATGGACATTAGAAATGGCAATACAATATTGTGGTACCAGCTGGTCTGATGATGGGACTGGAAGGTGGCCAAAAGAACTCTTAAACGAAACGGCGGAATCACATCGAGTTTGGGTTCATTGGATATTATTATCTTTTCGAGATCTTTAAGTGCTAGATAATGTCCAGGGTCCTAATGATGGAGTCAGGAGGTAGCCATAGGAACTCCTAAACGAAACGGCGGAAACACATCGAGTTTGGGTTCGTTGGATTTGTCTTTTCGAGCACTTTAATGCTAGATGATGTCCAGGGTCTTGATGATTTTTGGCTTTTTAGTGCCGTTAGTAATAAAAGCGTGTTTTTAGTTTTTTAAACTATTCTTATTTGCCATTAAGGGCATATTTCACAATCGCTTAGTAAGGGCCTGTTTCGCCACTTCTGGATAAGTTGTGGATAGCCTGTCTGACGGATCATTTGACACATTTTTATAGAAAATACGTGCTAGCTAAATTGATCCGACACTTAGAAGAATGGTAATAGGTTCGTTCGTTCGTTTCAGCCAAATGACGTCCACTGCTGGACAAAGGCCTCCCCCAAGGTTTTCCACAATGAACGGTCTTGCGCTGCCCGCATCCNTTTTGGAGAATGGTAATAGGTACTCCTCTTCAAATCATATCATTTCAGCCATAGGACGTCCACTGCTGACTATAGGCCTCCCCCAATGCTTTCCATGTTGATCGATTGGTAGCGGCCTGCGTCCAGCGCTTCCCTGCTACCTTTACGATGTCGTCAGTCCACCTTGCAGGGGGACGGCCCACGCTGAGTTTTCTGGTACGCGGCCTCCATTCCAGAACCTTTCTGCCCCATCGGCCGTCAGTTCTGCGTACTATGTGCCCTGCCCATTGCCACTTCAGCTTGCTAATCCGTCGGGCTATGTCAGCGACTTTGGTTCGTTTCAAAAAAGGTGACAAAACCTTGTTGAAGAATTATAGACCCATTTCGCTTCTGAGCCATGTCTACAAGCTGTTTTCGATAGTCATTACAAATTGTCACGCTAGCAGGCTCGACGACTTTCAGCTCCCCGAACAAGCCGGTTTCCGAAACGCTTTAGTACCATATACCATAATAATATACGCAGATTATACGGAAGATCAAGGAGTTTAATCAGCCACTTTGCGTTTGTGAACTATGAGAAAGCCTTCGATTCGTTTGAAACATGGGCAGTGCTTCAGTCTTTTCAACTGTATCAAATTAACTATTGATACATTAAAGTGTTGAAAGGCTTCTACAAACACGCCACAGTGACAGTCCGTTTTAAGATCAGAACCCGAAACCTCTCCAGTTGCAGCGAGGGGGGAGACAGGGAGACGTCATCACCACCGCCCTGGAAGATGTTTTCAAGCTTCTGGGCTGGAGCGGATTCAGCATAAATATCAACGGTGAGTACATCACCCAGACAGCAGACGATATCGTAGTCATGGCTGAGATCGTGGAAGATCTAGGCACAATGCTCGATGGCCTCAATAGAGTCTCTCAACAAGTGGGTCTCAAAATGAACATGGACAAGATTTAAAAATTATGTCTAAAGACCGTGTTGCACCCACTCCTCTAAAAGTTGGAGACTACACTCGAGGTTGTTGACAATATACCTGGGACAAACAGTCCAGTTAGGTAGGTCCAACTTCGAAAAAAAAGGTCAATCATCGAATCCAGATCGGCTGGGCAGCCTTTGGGAAGCTTTACGATATTTTCTCGCGGCTTCTCCGTCGCGTCGCCACTCCGCTTTAAATCCACTTTGAATCCGCTTGCAATCCGCAAGGGTGGCAAGGGCCTTAAAACTCAGAGGCACACTGATGTTTAAATACCGTAGCCGAGTCCTAAAGCCGCGGTAGGCGTTCGCCACGAAAAGAGTGAGCAAGACAGCAATATCTCACTCACACGTTTCATGCCTTGTTTATAACGACTAGTCTTAACGCCCAGTTAATAAAACGTCGAAACATTACAAATAATTCACATATAAAAAACAAAATTAAAATTAAAACTAAATGTATTCTGTCGAGAACACTGAGAATATTCCCGGGAGCGTTCTCGGTTCCCGAGAATATTCTCACTGGGAATATTGCCGGGAACGAGAACTTTCTCAGCGGCACATCTCTAAGCTCAACCCACTGAATGAAATATAAATCGGAATTCACACGAACAGATTCTTATTGCGTCTCCGCTATCGAATAGGCTTGAGATTACGACGGCTTTACAGTTGCATCGTGACTTGCAATCCTTATCAAGATTCGATTGGAAAAGTTCGCCATTTTCTATTCATTGAAAAGGTAAATCTTTGAAAAGTGGCGCTGCTGTCAGGTTGAATTGGAAAGACCAGAAATTCAGAATTCAGACTTTAACAGAACTTAGACTTATTTGAAGCATAAAGAGTATTAAAGTCTGTACAACACACTAGAAATTAAGTTGTAACTTTTTCTGACATGCTTTGTCTCTACTCTTCGATAACTGATGGCATGACTGTGTTCGTTGCAGACGTGTAAAGTACCGTTTGACGTATGTATGATGCGTGGGCGCACCCGCAGATTTGCTCTAAATGGGTCAGGGTGATGATTTGATGACCTGACAGACAACGCTGGCACCGAATACAGAAGACGTCGCGTATCTCAAGTTTAATCACGCGATACAGTATTATTAGATTTAGACGAGATTGATGAAGTATCAAGTGTCAACCATAAAACAGTTCATCGCAATACGAAAATATTATAGTTACTTATTTAATCTGCCGGAGAAAGTATCAAGAACTCGTTTGTCCGTAAGCGCGTTAGAAAAGCAAATAAACTTGTTTGAAGAAAGCTAATATCTAAAAGAATCTTGGACGTAACTCACTCAATGATCATGACCAATAATGAGATATCAGTTATCCTGTGTTACGTAATAAGTCTGTAATTGGAAGGATAATTATAATTCCTACAAGACGTGTGATAATTAAGGTAGTTTTTATTTGAAATACCCATTACGAGAACAAAGTGTTATCCTCTTTCCCCTGTTTCATACTAAGAAATGGGCTTTTGTTGTTAAATAAGTATTCTCTATCTAATTAAGATAATTTATTATTGTGTATATTTCCTATCATTCCAGAATGTTTCGAAATATAGTGATACCTGCCCAAACAGGAAACCGTTACCTGCATACTCAAACTAAATCACAAGCATAACGCGTGACGTCTTTTTTCGGTCGTCGATTTGACAAACGCAAAAGAAACGGGAAGCAATTTGTGAAGTTTCGGAAGCAACAGTGTGCGTAACCTCGCCCGTGCCCCGGCTTAGCGGGCTACCGAAAACGTTATCCAAAATTTCGGATTTTCCATCCTTCTCACGCTAAGCGAGATGCCAGCATGAGCGACAATGACGTAAACTTAGAGATTAGCCCTGCTGGGGTCCTTCGAGACGGACCAGCGCTGGGCGCTCGTCATTGCGCAGAATCCTTGGCCCGTCCTTGACACGACTTGCAACTCTTTGTCCTTGTGTTCACGTGCAATATTTGTGTTCGCTTTTTCCGCTCCAGTAATTGTCTAAAAATTTTAAGCTTTTCTTCACTGAACCTTTGGTTGCTGTGGTTCTATTTGTATTTATGCTTGTTTTGTGAATTGTCAGACCTTAAGTGCCCATTATTTTATGAAATAAAATGAACAACAACAACAGCAACAAACTACCAATATTTGTCATTAAGTTTCGATCTAAGTTTGAGCCTTTTATTCGTTGTTTCATAATACGGGCCATCGTCTACTTTTTAATTGCAGGGTCTGAATTTAACTAATGATTCCGTCAAGTTTTGTTAAAAGTTTGTCTCGAAGTAGTTTCGCTTGAGGTGGCGCGCTCTATGGGCTCATTTCCGTTGTCTTTGTCCGTCCCAGCGTGACCCTAATCAGGACTAAATCGCTTCTAGTGACTCTATCACTGGCCCGCGACTCGGCCATTGCTATAATTTGATTAGCCTGTAGGCAGGCGGTGGAAACATTTCGAAAACATAGCACAGAATAAATATCTAGTCCAGTTTTTAATTTGAATCAATATTACAAATTACTATTTCTAATGAAAACTAAACTGCTCAACATCAGGTTTGGATCCTTTAGCCTTGTTAGCCTTTGGAATTCGTTGTGTAAATCGGCCGGAGGCGCAAAAATACGAGTACCTATAATATTACTACAAACGTTCTCCATTGTGTTCACATTCATAAGTTTCCTTTGTTTATTTTTGAACAACTAAAATACAAAGTAATTCAGTAATTAATTTGCCCACGCAGTAATAAAATTACTTATTAAAACCCATGTTGCGTAAATGTTTCTCATCACGCCCTCGTGTTCTTCCACTTATTAAGCTTTGCAAAGCTTCCTTTCAATATTTAATGTGGGAAGCTTCGAAAGCCGAGATCCTAGTTAAACATTAACAAACAGTCCTTTAAATGAGATCCCCTAACCGTTTACGCGTGCTGATGAATTTTTAATTGTGTTTAAATACTAAAGCACGATTAAGAATGACAAAGGATGTAATTGCTTACGAGTGGATGCTACGAATATCGAATACCGAAAAAGGTTTTTGTTTTCTGTTACAAGTTTCAGATGAAAGAGGTAGAAAGGTTTTGTGATAAAAATGTAACGAAAACAAAGGAAACGTCTGCGCAAAGCCAACCCTATGCCAAACTCAGGTGTTACTTGACCTAAAAAGATTCGAGCTCTCGTAACTCATTTCGTTTTCATTGCGAAGTAAGTAGTTACCAACATAATAATAGCGAACGAACGGGAAACTTTCGGCCGGGAACTGCGGAATTGCTTCGTGAAAGTTAAATTTATCATAGTCATAAATTCTGCCTATTTCAACAGCGATGCTAATTTTCAAATGAGGGTGTGACGGCTCAGCGTAAGAGGCGTCTAAATTGTTTATACATTTAATAATTCCTCACGATGTTGTAGCCCAATTAATTCTGATGTGTCATTTTAAACAAGTAGGTAAACTAAGTTATGTACTGCTTTTATTATTAGTCATGACGATGTCATTAACAAATCTGGATTAATAAATTGTAGCACTGCTATTTTCGTGCACAATCAAATATTATTTTTGAAATTACATACATAGGTATTTACATATTTGTATGACCAGTTCAGATTTATTTTTACGGCCTGTTGCGTCAATGTCGTCTCTACTCTTTAATTTAGTTACAATTTTGGTCATTTAACCTCAAGTTTCTCTAACACTAAGTCCACGTCATCATTGACCTGAATGTGCTAATGAAAACACTAAGTGGAGATTGCAGCGATTCACTCGAAGCGAGAATATCACATTACGCTCGCAACAATAGAGCGAACTTACAGACAAGTTGCATACAATCCAATGTGTTTATCGCGTGACAAGCAATTTGCACACAATGGCGACGCATAAGCTCGCACGTGCTCTCGATCCCGACATTCTAATTGTTTCGTGAAAAACATTCCTCTAACTTAGTTCTTGTCACCTTTTTTAACCTCCTCTGACAATTCCAAAGCCCGTGCTCTAGCTGTTTACCGACTAACCTAACTAATGACTAACCGAATAGATTTAATTCAAATATCGCTTTCGGCTTACAGATTTAATGAGCCTAATTGTGAAATAAAGCCGTCTTCTTGCTACTTACAGGTCTAATGAAGTTTTGATAGGCCGGTTTAACTACAGCTAGCAGTATGTAGAGTAGTTTATAATGGCGAATCCGAATTAAAAACATCTCAAGAGAAGCTTATTGATGTTTCAACCTTAAAAAACTTACTAATTACAGTTGTAAAATGTAGGAAAAAGCTGCGTGATTGCAAACGACAAAGAAATGTAAACATACCTTTTTTACAGCTTGACTGGTGTATTGTGTCGATTATGTAGTTGAAGTGGGATAAAAGAAGCAGTATAATGGCGAGTACGTAATTAGGTCTATTAATTCCCGTAGTGCGGTAATTAAAAGCGTATTCAGCGTCTGGTTACAATGTCCAGGAAGGGTCCCATTATGTACTTCAACCCTTTTGTCTCGTTCCCTTCCACTCCCTCGTCACGTGCGTTTTAACCCCATGTATTTCAAAATAGGCATTTTGGCTCGCTTTTAAAGTTTACGTAAGCCAAAATGAACTGCCATGTATACTTTTCAATCATTAATAATTTCATTTCATCGCTTTAAATTACATTGTACTGCATCATGTCTTAAAATAGACTTGGTAAAGTTTTACCAGACTGTCGATATCGTATCGGATATTGTGCCGGTAATTTTATCGTCTTCCTTGAACCGGCAAACATCTGGTTACCGGGTGGCCTACTCTTACCCATTCTTGATATAGCACGCTGTTTCCAGGCCACGGTCGTCATATAAGCCTCTTTTGCCAGTAATGCATATCGTGAGTACAATATGTACAACGGTTGCTCAATTGGCATCGCTATTCAGTACACAGCGCTTGGCGCCTATTCGGGCGGTGCATTTGCAACTGTTGAGTTGACTGTTAGAACGATGCTGGCTGATTAGGCAACAACGCTAAGCGCAGCCAAACGCGCCGTCAGGTTAGGAATGCACATTTTGCAACCTAATACGACGCTTTTAAGAATTTAGCACACCGTATTGTTTCCGAAACTGTATTCATGTTACATGTAACTCGTAGACAGATACGATACTTAGAAGCGCTCCGTGTGTAAACAGGTTGATCAAGAAATTTGAGCTTACACTCGGCTTTCATATTTCTATGGCTGCTCACCGTTAATGAACCGTGACGCTTGCCTGATGTTTTACAGTCAATTAACTTTCCTTTATTTTGCATTCGCCCACTTTGCGCTAACGTAAAGCATTTTGTTCACAGATGCAAAACATAAACAACATTGTGATGTTCCCGGTTGACAGCGTGTTAAAAGGTGATCTCAGAGGAGTTAAGGGTGACTTGAAGAGACCCTTCGATAAAGCATCCAAAGACTACGAGTCCAAGTACCTGAAGATTGAGAAAGAGAAGAAGTCCCAAGCGAAGGAGGCGGGCTTGATCCGAAGTGAAGTGACGCCTGCGGAGATAGCAGATGAGATGGAAAAGGAACGAAGACTGTTTCAGCTTCAAATGTGTGAGGTATGTTCATTGAATATTAATTCAGATCATCTGCTCATTAGATTTGAATACGAGATCAATAATCCAAAAGCTTTTGCCACTTCTGCTTTACTACTAACAATAACTAATTCTTAAAATAAATAAAGCAGAAAGTATTTACTCGTACGTAGAGTTTAAACTAAACTTCTCAAAGCGATTCTCATTAAATGCCGTAAATAAACTCCTTTACCGTTTGAGTAGGTGTTTATTTTGGGTTATAGTATAAACATAACCCGCCATACACGTTCCGAATAAGAATTTAATTTTATTAAACTTCAGAAAACATATTTCGATATGAAAGAAACCTGTTTAAGAATATTCAATAAAGCTTGCTGTTATTGAAAACTGACGTAAAAATTCCACTCACATCGGTTAACATAAATGAAGTTTAATATAAATTCTTTTTGCCATACTGGTTTGCCGAAGGAAAATTCTGTTTAAAATTTTCTGTGCCATGTGAAGGATTTTGGCCGAGAGCCGAGTGCCAAAGCCAAAAGGTTGGTTATTAATTGCGAATGGGCAATTAGTGGCTGTGCCCAACTTAGGCAGACCAGGGACCTGTTGGCATACGTAATTATTCAGACCTGGGGGCTTATGCAAATCCCACCTTTAGAGGTCTGTCCGCTCTTAATAACCCAAAATGTAAACTAGATGAAGTTGTAGTAACCCTGTAAGTTGTAAACAACCCTAAGTAAAGATAGTTATTGAAATAATCCTCGGTCTAGTTTGTGGATAAAAGGAAGTCTAGTAAATGTAGGCCTTTGTGGGATACATAGTTGATTGTATAGAATGTTTTTCTCCAATTTTCACATCACGAAAACCACCGTCTAGATCGAAAATGTAGGTATTTATCGAACACGTACCTAATTTAATACGCACGCAAGCACTTTCTATGGGCGTTCCTCCAATGTGATTGGTTAAGATGAGTGTACGAGTATGAGGCTTCCTTAATTGACTCCCGGGTGAGTGATTTAGTTAGTCCGGTACTTGATACCAATTATGTTTACTGAAGTACAATTAGAAAGTCTTGCTCCTAATATAACTTGCTTCATCTCGTTCGTAGGTTTATTTATAGGGCTGGGATATGTTTACTTTATTTTCTTATATCGCTATTGAATGGGTTCTCTTGAGGTTGCCGCGCTAATTACTCGTTGACCCGTCTGCCTATTCATCAGTCGGTTTTGTAGCTGAGAGCCCTTCGTTTCTAGTTTCAATATTGTATGGGACAAATTAATATAGTATTGTGCAACGTTTAGTGACTTAAGACACTTAACTAGTATAGTTGAAATTTTTGTCTCGAGGTTAGTTAGGCCTTCGTGAGTATTTTAACATAATTCCACGAAAGATTACAGAAATATTATTTCGTTAATTAGCTACCAAGACCTAAATGAAACGATCAAAACAAAAATTCTGTAATCTTTTAATTTACAATTCACGGGAATATGAGACTACTTTACCAACATAAACTTAATTAAATAAACTGAGTTTTCCACAAATTCTACGTATTCTCACAATATTGATTGTTTGCAATATGATCCGATTACTTAATGCGCAGGCCCGCAGTACATCTCGTACCTACCTTAATTGAAAATTCAAGGTAATTAGTATAGAATGAACAATGCAGTGTGTGACGATAAAAAATGTCAGCTAAACGAACATTTGTGATAATTATTGTGTAAAGAAATAACTATAGTGACGGCGCGCGTGTGACCCGTGTGAACGCCAAAACAATGCGCTTGTATAGCATTTCAACCTGAAGGTGTTGAGACTTTCTTCTGAGGATTTTAAACTTTGTTATTTTGATATAAGGTTCGTTTTCACTTGATAAATTATGCCATTTTGTGGTAGCTTGATATGCTGGCGACGTTCTAACAGTTAACACGTTTACTGCTACTTTGGATTATCATAACAATATTATTGTTAGCGNCAATTATGATTATCTTTATTGTGTAAAAACACGTAATAAGATCGCACGATAAGCCGTAACAATCTATTCGTTCCGGTGTAATAGTAGGCAGTTTGTAGTAATTAATAAAAAATATTACGTCTCATTAAAAAGAAAAAAAAAAGAAAAAAAAATTAGTGCATTATTTTTATAAATATCTCAACACGCAGCCTGTAATGCTGTTGCTATTTTTAAAGCAATATTGTACGCTGTAATAAAGCTCGAGTATTGCTTTAATACTTAACCTGAATACTTTCGAAGCGATACGCTATATTTAGATTTACGTGCTCTATCATAATGTCATCGCTTCCCATCAAAACTTGATGTCCCTGATGTAAAAGAAAGTTAAGACCCATACCGCAATGTCAATGGTTCCTAGCTCATAGTCATAACCATGACAATATGGCTTATGGGTACATTATGATGCCATAGGGTTTTGTGATTCGGAAAGATTAATGAAATTGGATTAAATGGTGTTGTTTGAATGAGTCAACCTTACAACGAATCTCACTATCATCATCATTTCAGCCACAGGAAGTCCACTGCTGAACATAGGCCTCCCCCAATGACTTCCACATCGCACGGTTGTAGTGGCCTGCATCCAGCGCCTTCCTGCTACCTTTATCAGGTTGTCGGTCCACCTTGTGGGTGGTGGCGTCGCTGCGTTTTCCGGTACGTGGCCTCCACTCCAGAACCTTGCTGCAACGAATTTAATAGGGTTTAAAGGTTAGCTAGGTTTCTATAAAGCTATCCAAAGTTCAATTCTCTTTAGGAGATGTTCCCGTGTAAATGTTTAAAGAAGCTATTGGGTTTAAAGAATTAGAATGTAGAGTTTAGAAAAATTGCATCGAGTGTCTAGATAAATGATCATCGTTGTATTTAAATTTAATATATCTTTATCACTTCACAACATAAAACAACAGATTTAATACAAAGTAGCTTTCCATTCAACTAACCTCACCAGCATGCAAATGTATTTTATCTCGTTCAAATTACCAATAATTTGTCATCAACGAGTTCCACATTACGGACAGGAATGCAATTAACACGGAGTAACAATATGTCTGCTCATGACAGGGATATGTGGTCTGTACAGCTGTTTACTGACAAATGCCATTATTGTGGTCACTGCAACGTCGGTACAACAGTGAATTTGTCATTATGTTCGCCCGTCCCACACGCTGTAATGTTTAAAGTAAACTTGTAGGTAATCTTTACTTTGAGGCATGACGTTTAAAACCACAAACGAACACACCCCTTTGAAAACAATGGCGCTTCCTGCCACAGGAAAATTTAACATAAATTATGACTACACAAATAAGTCGGTAAATCTCGAAACTGTCTGTTTGAATTATAACGCGATGCAGACAACATAAAAGAGAAGTCAAAGTAGTAATGCAAAAGTTCAAATCTTGGCAATGACCAGCAGTGACACTGGCAACAGTTAGGTCCAGACGGCGGCACACCAAGCTTAACACTGCCATCTTCTTAATGTAGTGGAAATAGGAGCGAATTTAGCTACAAAAATGTACAGTCTGATATGACGGCGACTGTACTTTATAATATGTATTTTGACAATCAAAATGTGTGTCAAGTGCCAGCTTCGTGACGCGTCTATTGTAACCGCATAATGTTAATGCTGTATGGCAGCTGTGCCAAATGCCGCCTGCTATCTGTCTGCACACAGCGCATACAATCTGAATTCTGTTTCAACAGATAAGGAAGTTAGGTAAATCATAGTGCAAATGGTTTATTATATTTGCCAAGGGAACTAGTTTTTCTATGTTATTGATTCCTTTACAACAACTAGCTTATTTTTCCGACTCGACATCACGGCATTGGCAAAGGTGGACGTAATTACATTAACGCAATTAGTTTATTCAGGTCTCGAGGGTAAAGTATGAGTTACTTATTTAGAAGTGGTGTAACTTGTTACGTTTTTAATCATTTAGATCGAAGGGTAGAAGTATGGTATTCATACTTTTTCTATGCATAAGAACAGCATTATTATGTGTATGGCATGTGATGATTACGGTAGTTCCTTGACAGACGGTGCACCTAGGTGCTTTCATCGTCAATCGCCAAATAATCGCTTCATGTCTATAAAAACCATACTGAACTTTTTTGTAGCTAATAACACCGACAGAAGATCGTTTGTCGCACGCTCTCCGCAGTCTCCGCCTACTTAGTTTTTCTACTTCAAACTCTGCCGACGTATATTATTTCTAAAACAAAAAATGCTATCGCTTACAACTTACCATTAGCTTGCAAACGTGTCCTTTTTCTCCCATGCGACGTTTAAGTGCTTTGTACTGGTGCCAAGTGTCGGCATATTGCGCCCTAGCCACGCTAGTGATGTGAACTAGTCAGTTTATTTTGGAATTTCCTTTCTGGTTATTATAATCTTTGGTCGTGATTATTATATCATATCATTCAGTGGAATGTGGCTAAAACAGGAAAACAACAGATTTAAATGTTATGCACATATCAAACGAATGCAAAATAGAGTTAGTATTAAATTACATTTTAATTAGAATGTTGGTCAGGAGCTCTGTTGTAGTTTTTGAGCTCTGTAGAGTTTGGTCAGTGCAGTCTACCGCCTACAAAAACTTTTTACAGACGTGTATCACTGAAAACTAATAATCAATAACTCTGCTACCAACTTTGACGTTTGTTTTAAATGGTCAGCAGAGTTAGTCATTATTGGAAAATGAGGTGGGATCCTCAGAAAGGATCTACAGCTTGGTCTCCAATGAAACCCAACCAGTAAAACGTCAGTAATATCACTTAATTACTCGAGTCCTAATAGTACTTGATCAGAACAGCACTAGTTCTACCAACCAGCCGTACTCAGCCGTAGAGTGCACTGCCAAATAGCGGGGAGTTCACGGTCGCGTTGCACAACCCCGCCGGATTGATGATGCGGTTAAAGGGCTCTATTTAAAACGCCTTGTTGTGCGCAGGCGCATTCGATTGTACATTTTTGTTGCAAAATCGTACATTAACACAGCAACCTAAGATACCATGGATCATTGGATGTGCTTTTTTGTCAAGTTAACTTGCAGATTTTTTATTACTTCCAACATAATGTTAGCCTCTTAAAACTAAATTCGGATAATATTTCTGCTGGTCGTTTAGTCTTCTACATACCTATTGGCAGAAAGAGATTAATTTTCATTGCGGTGAAGCTATTTAGCACAAAGCAAATGACCAGTCCGTTCGTTTAAATAATAGGCATGTTTATTTTGTAAATAGGTCGCTGACCTGGCTTCAATTTTAAAATACGAGAGCATATTGCCATGCTGTGCTCATGCAGATCGTATAGAAACAAAACAAATGAAAGCGTATTATAAAGAGCCCTACACGCATTACGTTCTGCAAACTGGATGCGGTGAGGTCATTGTTTCATCGGATGAGCTTGTTTTGTTTGTCCACAGGCTGATTGTTGTCCTGCAACTTGAGAGCGCACCGCTTATTCCATTTCACAACTTGGACGTGGGCCGCAGTGTATAATACTGAACATAGAATGTGAAAGTTACACATTGTTTAGACAGTTTACATAGATGAGATAATATCCCCTTTGAAGACCATCCTTATTAAGCCTACGATGGTGGAGTAGTTCTTATAACATAAAGCCCTTTTCTTCCGAATCTGCCACTCTACGCGAATTTTGCTTTTAGGTTTTCGGCGTGCCTCTGGCATAGGCCTCCTCCAGCTCTCTTCATTGAGCTCTATCCTACGCTACTTTTTTCCAGTATGTTACCAACCAAGTCCCAACACTAACACTTCATAGGTAGAGCAAATGATTATTTTCTGAGGAACAATTTTGATTCTTCTATTCTCCCCCGTGGAATCGCCCATAACGATATTGAATCTGCGTTATGGAATCATTTTGTTATTATCTAGAGATGATAAACGATAAGCTATCTTCTTCGCAGAATTTTATGATTATTGAATGGCACATTAAGTTTTGATACTACCGGTTTATATTCCGTATTCTCTTTGATCACAATTTATGCGACCAAAACATTGCATTTAGATGGTAATATTAAAGGTTAAATAGTATTGAAATTAACATTTTAAAGTTCAGGTTATAATTTAGGTTGACGCAGACAAAAACATTCCACCCTGAACTACCTCAAGTTCTCAACACGTATTAGCAACTTCGTGCAAATATTCCAACGATGCGGTTACGTACCGTGAACCATGTGATGATGGCGTTAAATAGAAACAAAAGAACTCGTATGACTAGTGTGGTTTTAGCTCGTGCCACGTCAGAACCACTTTACCTATGGACAAGATCTTTCAGTCTTATGGAATTTTGAGGAACAAACATCTGCAGCCTATGACAAATTAAATTAACACAGGCCGTTAAATCGTTGCCGTTAGATATTCGGGCCAGTAATTTGAAATTGTAGGAAACTACTGACACTTTCTACGATTTCTAATGGTCAAATTGCTACATCGACGAACCGACGGATATTGGCATCCTGTATTAAACGTATGCTCTAAAAATCAAATTACATAATTAATGTTTCAACTTTTCTACTATGATTTATTACTTTCAGAAAACAAATGAAGTAGGTAAACAAAATGCACTTACACAATTATTATTACGCGTCGCTTAGCATTAACCCTTATTACACCTACTTTGATGTTGGCTTAGCAAAATTATAGCTACGACAGAGGTTATCTATCTTAAATCCCTTCAGATTTGCATAAACTTTACAATTAAAATTCAGATGTCCCCTCCCATAACGAAGTACCTACCTAAAACAAACCCTTACCCCTTGACAAAGCTTTTAGAGTTTTCCATTTCAATTGTAAACAAGTCCGTGCATAAATTAATCTGGATAATAAAAAAACAAAAGACAACACTGAGTGAGGTCGGTGCGGTACCGACGCGCGTCAGGTCACCGACCGGCCTTGCGCTGCGCAGGGCTCCGCTGACCCTCGCGGGTTATTCCACGCGGCCAAGAGTCCCGATGGACAATCACTAAGAGGTATCATTTAGAAGGGAACAGAACTTTTCCGAATAATTCATAGTTATATTAGGTTTTAATTCGTCTTTTGTCTTTATTTCGCGCCACATTTGGTGGCCAGGTACCTGCAAAATTCGTCAATATCATCATAGATTGAGTCTTGAGTGGCGGCGCAGCGGCGGTGTCTCTTCTGACCCTCGTATTTTATTTCATGTCGAAGTTTCTCGCTAGAGGAGCAAATCTTACCCATACTATAGTACTTAGGTGTACTGATTCAATATCAGGCTTGGCAAATTAACTCTGTCTCAGATAGCCACAATGCAAACAAGATTACCAAGAACACCACCATACGCGCTACAGCCCACGCGTGTGCTTGCCTTGTTAGCGCTACGGATATAATAAATTTAGGTACGACACGCACAACAAGGGCAAGGTATAGGGGTCGCAATACCGAATCATTTCAGCAAAACCGGTATTTTCGGTATTGGCTCTAGACCAATACCGATAATCCGGTATTTTCGATATTTCCGGGATTAAGCTAAAGTATATAAGCAAATTTAGTATAATAAAGTTAGTTTGCGGAGGAATAGTAAGTAGGTACCTAACCTAAATTAATTTATCTTCTAAATAAAACAAAATTCAGTCCAAATCCAATTGAGTTATAAAGACGTAATCAAAATATTATTAAATCTAGATTAAATTTTTGGTTGAACCTTGTAATGAGATCGTAGAAACAGTAAAGTATCTAAACTTTTATCACTCTTGACTTACTTGACTTAAGGTCCTATGTCCCCTAGATGGGGCAGAGGTCGTCCACAACAGTCCTCCATCGCGTTCGGTCTTGAGCTTCACTTTTGATCTCGCTCCAAGTCTTGCCGATTTTCTTCGCCTCGACTGCCACAGTGCGCCGCCAAGTTTGCTTGGGGCGACCACGTTTGCGTTTTCCTTGGGGGTTCCAATCCAGAGCCTGCTTGGGGATGTGATCGGGATCTCTTCGGAGAGTGTGGCCAATCCAGTTCCACTTGCGGCGCTTGATCTGCTGGTTGATCGGAATTTCGTGGCAGCGTTCCAACAGCTCGACGTTGGAGATTTTCTCAGGCCAGTATATGCCGAGAATTTGGCGAAGGCAGCGGTTGACGAAGACCTGCAGCTAGTGCGAGATGACCTTGGTGACCTTGCACGTTTCACACCCATAGAGCAGATCGGATTTAACGTAGGACCCGAAAATGTTGATCTTGACCCTTCGGGTCAGTTTCCGTGACTGCCATACGGGGCGAAGTTGTGCGAAGGTAGCTCTAGCNAAATTGAGATACATACTAACTTCTATTTGTTCCCTATTGTTATAAAAAATAAGGATAAAATAATATAAACATATAAAACAAACGTAAACAGTAGGCAATAAGCCAAGAAAGTTGTGCAAGGTCGCGCACCACGCCACGCCTCATTATTATTGCACAACTTCGCAAGACAAATCGGGATCCACAACGTGCTCGTGCGTCATCAAGCGTAATTTTAACTCGCGGAAGGGCACCATTTAATATTTGAGCTTTTCCACAGTACCGGCCGAACGGCGCTCGCGTATGTTTTGGCGCGTTCCATTAGCCACGGGCCCTGATGAAGTAATAAGCGGGTGCCCACGCGCTGTTTTCGGCGTCGCCCTGTCTGATTATTCGCTCTCTATGCTGGCTCCAATCCATGTTTGTGCGCGGACAAGCGATGTACTGGTCACTGGACTCACGGGCATTGTATTGTTTTAGTACCTGATAAAGTTCAACGAGATAAAGACGAAGAAGGGGATCGAGCTGCTTCAGCACTTAGTGGAATACTACCATGCGCAGACTAACTACTTTCAAGACGGGCTGAAGACGATCGAACATTTCGGCGTCTATGTAGCTGATCTGAGCGTGCAGCTGCAGAAGATCCGACAGCAGCAAGACGACGAAAGGAGGAGGTTATTGGAGCTGCGGAACATGTTGAGGGCAGCCGCACCACAAGATAGAGAGGTAATATATTTGAATCTTAAAAGCATTAATTAGTGAACTGGCAGTCCAGAGAAATTCGTCCTCCTGGGAATTTTTAAGTCATTTCATAACTCTTTAAAACATTAGGAATATAAATTAAATGTGAACGTGAACTTTACTTTATTCTATTGTTCTGAAAAATCTAATACATGATACAACGTTTGGCACTGCACCGATGTTCAGTACCTACACGTGTTTACTTTCTTCATTATGCTGACTAACTGATCGACATGAACAGCTGTCAGCTTGTATTCTGCCAACATGATAGTTATACTCTAAACGCCAATTTCCAGGTATCATCATCAATAGGCGGCTACTCGCTCCACCAGTTGCAAGGGGACAAACAGCATGGGGTCACCAGGAGCGGCTATCTCCTCAAAAAGTCCGAAGGGAAAGTGCGGCGGGTCTGGCAGAAACGGCGGTGCCGCGTCACTGCCGAAGGGTTCCTGGACATATTCCATGCTGACGAGAACAAACCCCCGGCCAGGGTCAACTTGCTCACATGTCAGATTAAAGTCGCTGCTGATGACAAGAGGGCCTTCGATCTAGTCTCATGTGAGTAAAGAATATACTAGTGGGTCTAGGATGCGCGCCGCGATAAACGGTTACCACGCCATTTTATCGATTTTTCCCATACATTTTGACGTCGATAAAGTATATCACGGCACGCATCCTAGCCCGGCAGGTGCTATTTTTTTCATTCTGTATTTATTGGTGTTGGTTTGTCCAGTTGAATATCTTCAAAATCTTTTGTATCTAACGCAAGATTGTTTATTTCTACTATTCTCATTGAGTAAACATTTTTTGTTTCTTTTTACATTTCATTGGAATACAATGATTTGATTGTTTATAATGCAAATTCTTTCGTTCAACAGCCATATGAATTTGATCATACGATTAACAGAAACACATCTGCTAAACAAATAATGATGACCATCTGGCAAGCCTATATTTTATCGCTTTAGTAGTTTGGAGATGGCGCTATGTGAATGTCGTTTTATTTTACACAACACAAAGCAAGAAAAGAAAGAAAATACACAATTTAGGCTATTTATTTACTCGTTTATGTTTTTCCAGACAACCGTACCTACCACTTTCAAGCTGAAGATGAAAACGAGCAGAGAGCGTGGACATCAGTCCTCATCAATTGCAAGGAGGGAGCCCTAATGAGGGCTTTCCACCAGCAAGCTGGCGAGAGCAACGATACGGGTCACTCGCTCCTGGATCTCCAGAGGTCCATCATTAGAGCCGTCAGGTCTATGCCCGGGAATCAAGTCTGTGCTGACTGCGGTTCTAGCAACGGTAAGTGAGAGACATTGTCATATTAAAATGCACATAAACACTAGCTAAAAGACAGCGTATTATTATTATGGTGTACCAGCGCAAGGACAATATGATATGGTATTAGATAATCGTTTTAAAATAAACGAGGATCAAGTTCTCCTGTAATAAGGAATGTGTACGACCATCAATCAACTAAATGAAGTTGATGATGTTGATTTATTCTGGCAAACTTAACTACAACCGTTGAACTGTATTAAGTTATCGACAGGAAAGTACCTTGCACAAGATTCTGTTTATATAACATTTTTGTTATTTAATTTTAATGCTAAATGGGCAGTTATTATCATTTCAATTTAAAAATACATTTTTATCAATCGATATTGACATTGCGTTACCGGCTGTCGCTATTCGAAACAGACGACAGGACGTCCTTCCCGTTTAGATAAATGTAACGCATTACAAACATGCATACCAACTGTATGACATCCATTAGTAGTGCTAATGGACATTAACTAAGCGCGGCGTAAACCATCGGCTAAACAAGATTATCCACAACGAAGTTACAGGCGGTCGAAAATGGCCTGAATTGCTTCGAGAAAAGGATGGTACGGCCGTGCCGCTTTTTTGCTCGACTTGGTGGGGGCACTGCCGTGCCCCCAGATGTTAACGCTTATACTCAGTGTTATCATTATAAGGTTAATTTGGCGTTTGTTTCTTTTTAATTGTGTTGATTTTTTAGACATCTGTCTAACAAAATTAGATGAGAATTTAATTGGCTCGATTTATGTAGTAATTAAATTGGGTAGTTGACTCCATAAACCAGTACTTCATTAGTAGTCAATTGCGTTGGTGAAATGGTGTAGTCATCAGACTAACAATCTAAAAAGATTAGTGTTCTTTGACAGCTCTTAAAAAGTATGCCAATTTGTTGCTTGTATCCTCAATGAAAGTGGAATCAGCAGATAATAGTTCTGCTGATTCCACTTTCATTGAGCTGTATGCTAATATACCCTCAATTAATTCCAGACCCCACGTGGCTCTCGACGAATTTCGGCGTGATCGTTTGCATAGAATGCTCCGGTAGTCATCGGGAGCTAGGCGTCCACATATCCAGGATACAGTCGCTGACGCTGGACCGGCTGAGCACGTCGCAGCTGCTGCTGGCCAGACACATGGGCAACCAGATGTTCAACGAGGTCATGGAGAACACGCTGGATGACAGGGACAAGCTGACGCCCGAGAGCACCATGTAAGTGATAGTCAGGGAGCTAGCGTCCTCATATCCAGGATACAGTCGCTGACGCTGGACCGGCTGAGCACGTCGCAGCTGCTGCTGGCCAGACACATGGGCAACCAGATGTTCAACGAGGTCATGGAGAACACGCTGGATGACAGGGACAAGCTGACGCCTGAGAGCACTATGTAAGTGATAGTCAGGGAGCTAGCGTCCACATATCCAGGATACAGTCGCTGACGCTGGACCGGCTCAGCAAGTCACAGCTGCTGCTGGCCAGACACATGGGCAACCAGATTTTCAACGAAGTCATGGAGAACACGCTGGATGACAGGGAAAAGCTGACGCCCGAGAGCACCATGTAAGTGATAGTCAGGGAGCTACAAGTCCACATTTAGGTACATTCAATAAAGGACATAATGTTACTTCTAGTGACTGAGTTTCTCGCACTGTTACTTCTGAGCACTGACCCATTTGTTGTCCTGAAGCAGCAGTAGGGTTAAAGTAATACTGGGATGTGTAAAGGAGCTTGTTATAAGCCTACTGGCAATGTAAATCGCTGAAGGTGTGTGGTCCTTTGACCAACAACCGATTGATAACTGATTACGTCATTTATTCTTCAGGGAGGAGCGGCTAAGGTTCATCCGTGAGAAGTACGTGTATCGCGCGTGGGCCGCGCGGACCTGCTGCGACGCCGCCGAGCGCCTGTCTGAAGTGGAACACGCCGTCAACAACGGGCACTTGCAGAATCTCCTCCAGGCGTACGCTGAGGGCGCCGACCTCGCCGCGCCGCTGCCTTGCTCGGTACGTGCGTGACGTCACAACAGTATACAGTCTGTACTTACTAGCTGCTAGTGCAGACACTTTAGTACTAGTAATGAGCCTGTCCGAGGTGGAGCANAGCCGAAGGATTCCTGGACATATTCCATGCTGACGAGAACAAACCCCCGGCCAGGGTCAACTTGCTCACATGTCAGATTAAAGTCGCTGCTGATGATAAGAGGGCCTTCGATCTAGTCTCATGTGAGTAAAGAATATACCAGTAGGCCTAGGATGCGCCTCGCGATAACGGTTATCACTCCATTTTATCGATTTCGTCGATAAAGTATATCACGGAGCGCCCGTCAGGTGCTATTTTTTTCTTTCTGTATTTATTGGTGTTAGTATGTCCAGTTGAATATCTTCAAAATCTTTTATATCTAACGCAAGATTGTTTATTCCTACTATTCTCATTGAGTAAACATTTTTTGTTTCTTTTTATATTCCAATGATTTGATTGTTTATAATGCGAATTCTTTCGTTCAACAGCCATATGAATTTGATCATACGATTAACAGAAACACATCTGCTAAGCAAATAATGATGACCATCTGGCAAGCCTATTTATCGCTTGAGTAGTTTGGAGATGGCGCTATGTGAATGTGAAAGACGTTTTATTTTACACCACACAAAGCAAGAAAAGAAAGAAAATACACAATTTAGGCTATTTATTTACTCGTTTATGTTTTTCCAGACAACCGTACCTACCACTTTCAAGCTGAAGATGAAAACGAGCAGAGAGCTTGGACATCAGTCCTCATCAATTGCAAGGAGGGAGCCCTAATGAGGGCTTTCCACCAGCAGGCTGGCGAGAGCAACGATACGGGACACTCGCTCCTGGATCTCCAGAGGTCCATCATTAGAGCCGTCAGGTCTATGCCCGGGAATCAAGTCTGTGCTGACTGCGGTTCTACCAACGGTAAGCAAAGAAAGAATGAGACATGTATAGGCTTCTTAAGAGCATTTGACGATTTGCAAATACTAATTTAATTAGTCTAAACAAATAAAGATAATTTTGATTTTGACATCGTCATATTAAAATGCACATAAATACTAGGTAAAAGACGAGCATAATTATGGTCTACACCAGCGAAAAGACAATATGATATGGTATTAGATTATCGTTTTAAAATAAACGAGTGCTCAAGCTCAGAAGCCTGTAATAAAGAAACCGTACTACCAGCAGTGAACTAAATGAAGTTGATGATGTTGATTTATTCTAGAAAAATTAACCACAACCGTTGAACTGTATAAAGTTATCGGCAGGAAAGTACCATGCACAATATTCTGTTAATAACATCATGATGATGTATTGAACCATGTTAGTTATTTAATTTTAATGATAAATTCTCAGTTACTATCATTATAATTTAAAAATACATTTTTATCAATCGATATTGACATTGCGTTACCGGCTGTCGCTATTCGAAACAGACGACAGGACGTCCTTCCCGTTTAGATAAATGTAACGCATTACAAACATGCATACCAACTGTATGACATCCATTAGTAGTGCTAATGGACATTAACTAAGCGCGGCGTAAACCATCGACTAAACAAGATGTTAACGCTTATACTCAGTGTTATAATTAGGCGTTTGTTTCTTTTTAATTGTGTCTAATAAAATTAGATGAGAATTTAATTGGCTAGATTTATGTAGTAATTAAATTGGGTAGTTGACTCCATAAACAGTACTTCAATCATCATTATAATCTGCCTTACTTTTATATTCGTGCCTAATTTTAGTAGTCAATTCAGTCAATTGACTCGGCGAAATGGTGTAGTCATCAGTCAGCTCAGACTCCCAATCCAAAAAGATTGTTTTTTTTTACAGTCCTTAAAAAGTAAGCTTTTGTCGTTGGTTTCTACTAGCCTATCATATTCTGCTGATCCCACTTTCATTGAGCTGATATGCTAATATACCCTCAATTAATTCCAGACCCCACATGGCTCTCAACGAACTTTGGCGTAATCGTCTGCATAGAATGCTCCGGCAGTCACAGGGAGCTAGGCGTCCACATATCCAGGATACAGTCGCTGACGCTGGACCGGCTGAGCACGTCGCAGCTGCTGCTGGCCAGACACATGGGCAACCAGATGTTCAACGAGGTCATGGAGAACACGCTGGACGACAGGGACAAACTCACGCCAGAGAGCACCATGTAAGTGATAGTCCCGGGAGCTAGCGTCCACACATCTAGGATACATTCAGTAAAGGACATAATCTTAAGTTCTAGTGACTGAATTTCTTGCACTGTTTCTTCTGAGCACTGGCCCATTTGTTGTCCTGAAGCAGCAGTAGGGTTAAAGTAATACTGGGGTGTGTAAAGGAGCTTTTTATAAGCCTACTGGCAATGTAAATCGCTGAAGGTGTGTGGTCCTTTGACCATCAACCGATTGATAACTGATTACGTCATTTATTCTTCAGGGAGGAGCGGCTAAGGTTCATCCGTGAGAAGTACGTGTATCGCGCGTGGGCCGCGCGGACCTGCTGCGACGCCGCCGAGCGCCTGTCCGAGGTGGAGCACGCCGTCAACAACGGGCACCTGCAGAACCTCCTCCAGGCGTACGCCGAGGGCGCCGACCTCGCCGCGCCGCTGCCTTGCTCGGTACGTGCGTGACGTCACTAGTAGTGAGCCTATCTGAGGTGGAGCACGCCGTCAACAACGGACACCAGCAGGCGTACGCCGAGGGCGCTGACCTCGCCGCGCCGCTGCCTTGCTCGGTACGCATGACGTCACAACAGTATACAGTACTTACTAGCTGCTAGTGCAGACACTAGTACTATTAGTGAGCCGGTCTGAGGTGGAGCAAGCCGTCAACAACGGACACCTGCAGAACCTCCTCCAGGCGTACGCTGAAGACGTCACATTGAAGTATTATAAGCCCCGAGTTTATAAGCGGCACCAACGTTCTGCAGAAACTCCTTCAGGAATATGCCGAGGACGCCGATCTTCTCGGTACGCGTTAACGTCACTGGACCACTAGTCCCGAGCGCACAAATTTACTTATGAATCTCCTCCAGGCGTACGTATAATCCCAATGAAACAATAATAATCTCTCTACGCTCAATAATGTATTGAACTGTTCCTGTATTTTGTGTTCAGAAAAAAATCATATTGCATAAACTCAATCTTGGCACATAGTTTAACAGAAGACTGTTTCGTCACAGGCAATTTTTTATCTTACAGGACTGCGGAGAAACTGCTCTCCACCTCGCCATATCTCGAGAGCTTGGCGATGGCTCCTGCCTCCACATAGTCGATTTTCTAGTCCAAAACGGCGGTTCAACGCTCCTCGATAAGACTACGTCCAGTGGCATGACCGCCTTACATCTGTGCGCGGCCACGGACAGAACTGAACCTATGAAGTTGTTGCTCAAAGCCGGGGCCGATAACACGCTCAAGGATGGCAGCGGGAGAACCGCTTTGCAAATTGCCAGGCAGATGGGACATCATGCGTGTCAGGAGTTGGTAAGTTATCGCTGGTTTTGGGTTTCAATTGTTTAATCAGCCTTTAGTTTTAAATCTGCCTATTAATGCTGCTTAATAAAGACCTTTAGTCTTCGTTGTAGGATGATGATAATTTACTAGGGGGAAAGGAGATTCTTTAATTTATTGTTTATTTTTTTCAGTTGGAGAATGTCGATAAACGAGAGAAGAGTATGTTTGAAAACATAAATATAGACTGGAACCTATCACATGACGATGGTTCAACAGATTTCTCCGACGACGATACTGTTATTGACGAGCGGGTAAGCCTCTATTCCTGTTCTTTATTATGCTTCGCATTGCTTTTAAGATGCTACTTGAAGACCGAAGCTTTATGTATGGGTGAAATCCCCAATGATGAGTCCAGACGTGTTTTGTATATGGAAAATGACAAATCATAAGGTTTGGTGCTTTATCATCATCAAATCAGTTGCAGAAGAGTCGGGAACAGTCTAAACACTGTGATATGCCATACGTTTTAAGACCTACAGTATTCAAGACTTTGTCCTTGTGTTATTTCCAGCAAAATGGTAGCGTAACTCCCGAGAAGAAGTGCCCCCGATCTCGGCCTCCTTCATACGCTGGAGGCGCTGTAGTCTGCACCGTATCCAGCGTGTTAGGCGCCGGGGGCGGAGGCGAACGCTCCGCGGGGGGCGGGGACTCGCCCGTGCTGCGTTCGAGGTCATCGACCTGCGACTCGCTGCACCATGCCCCGCCCACTCCTACTACGCTGCCGAGGAAGCCTAACGTCTGTGAGTCTCAGTTAGATATCGATCTAGGTCTCGTATGCTGGAGGCGCCGTGGTTTGTATCGTATACAGCGTGTTAGCCGCCGGGGGCGGAGGCGAACGCTCCGCGGGAGGCGGGGACTCGCCCGTGCTGCGCTCGCGGTCATCGACCTGCAACTCACTGCATCATGCCCCGCCCACTCTTACTACCCTGCCTAGGAAGCCTAACGTCTGTGAGTATCAATTAGATATGTATCTAGATCTCGTATGCTGTGCTGGAGGCGCTGTAGTCTGCACCGTATCGAGCGTGTTAGCCGCCGGGGGTGGGGGCGAACGCTCCGCGGGGGGCGGGGACTCGCCCGTGCTGCGTTCGAGGTCATCGACCTGCGACTCGCTGCACCATGCCCCGCCCACTCCTACTACATTGCCAAGGAAGCCTAACGTCTGTGAGTATCAGTTAGATATGTATCTAGGTCTCGTATGCTGGAGGCGCCGTAGTCTGCACTGTATCGAGCGTGTTAGGCGCCGGGGGTGGGGGCGAACGCTCCGCGGGGGGCGGGGACTCGCCCGTGCTGCGCTCGCGGTCATCGACCTGCGACTCGCTGCATCATGCCCCGCCCACTCCTACTACATTGCCAAGGAAGCCTAACGTCTGTGAGTGTAAATTTAGCTGGTGATCTAAGCATCTGTTGTGTGCTGAAGGGGCCGTAGTTTACAACGTTTCCAGCGTGCTAGGGACGCGGAAACTCGCCCGTCCTGCGCTCGCGGTCATCGACCTGCGACTCGCTGCATCATGCCCCGCCCACTCCTACTACATTGCCAAGGAAGCCTAACGTCTGTGAGTGTAATTTAGCTGGTGATCTAGGCATCTGTTGTACGCTGGAGGCGCTGTTATATGCAAGCATCCAGTGTACTAGGAACGCGGAAACTGGCCCGTGCTGCGCTCGCGGTCATCGACCTGCGACTCGCTGCATCACGCCCCGCCCACTCCTACTACGCTGCCTAGGAAGCCTAACGTCTGTGAGTATCAGTTAGATATCGATCTAGGTCTCGTACGCTGGAGGCGCTGTAGTCTGCACCGTATCGAGCGTGCTAGGCGCCGGGGGAGGGGGCGAGCGCTCCGCGGGGGGCGGGGACTCGCCCGTGCTGCGTTCGAGGTCATCGACCTGCGACTCGCTGCACCATGCCCCGCCCACTCCTACTACATTGCCAAGGAAGCCTAACGTCTGTGAGTATTATTTAGCTGGTGATCTAAGCATCTGTTGTGTGCTGTGCACCGTTTCCAGCGTGCTAGGGACGCGGGAACTCGCCCGTGCTACGCTCTCGGTCATCGACCTGCGACTCGCTGCATCATGCCCCGCCCACTCCTACTACCCTGCCAAGGAAGCCTAACGTCTGTGAGTGTTATTTAGCTAGTGATCCCTAGATCACTACCTACATCTGTTATATGCACGCATCCAGTGTTACTATGGGCGCGGGGAATCTCCTGTGCTGCGCTCGAGTTCATCGACCTGCGACTCGCTGCACCATGCCCCGCCCACTCCTACTACATTGCCAAGGAAGCCAAACTTCTGTAAGTATCAGTTAGATGTCCATCTAATGCCCGTTTTCACCATCAATCCCTAATTTTTAAGTGACCCCTATTAAAACAAATTCTTGTTATGTGTTACCGTAGGGGTCATTTAAAAATTAGGAATTGATGGTGAAAATGGTCATAAGTCTCCGTGTATGCAGGAGGTGCCGTAAGTACTGTGTGCAGCGTGCTTTACTCGACACAGGGGGTGGGGGCAAGCGCTTCTCCGCTGCGACATTCTCAAAATCGATCCCGAAACACCTTTGAACACATTTAAAAGGTTCAAGTCTTATTATGTAGTTAAAGATAACTTAGCAATTATAATTAAGGTGGACCGACGACATCGTAAAGGTAGCAGGGAAGCGGTGGACGCAGGCCGCTACCAATCGATCAACGTGGAAAGCATTGGGGGAGGTCTATGTTCAGCAGTGGACGTCCTATGGCTGAAATGATGATGATGATAGCAATTAGCAATGAGGGCTATCGTTTTAGCGCTCACCAGTTAGGGCCACTGTAGAGTAAGGTCCTGTCACTTGTTAGTAGCGAAGACAGTGGCACTAATTGGTGAAAGTGGTAGGAGGACTATCGTATTTGCACTCATCAAGATGGCGCCATTGTTAGAGTAAGGTCCTGTCAATCGCCAGGGGTGCCAACTGTTAAGTATAAAAACGATAGCCCTCATTGAATATTTATGATGTATTCTTTGTACCGTTTCAGATAACATTGGAAGTTTGAAGAAGAGGGCAGCGCCCCTGCCGCCAGCCGTGGCCCTGTCGCACCCGCCGCCACACCCGCGGTCGACGCCGTCGCCGTCCGCCGACAGCGCACGATCGTTACACGGTAAGCATATAACATTTTTGATGACTACCAATCAATAGAAGTTCTTATTGTAATTTGAGGGCTTAGTGTGAGTTTACATACATCAAACGCGCTCACTAGTGAGCGCGTCAAAAAATTTATGACGGATTGTACAGCGCCCCTAGCGGGAAACGTTCAAAAACTAAAATTTTCATACATTTTTTAAACGCGCATTTGTTTTTTTTTGACATATCTGTCAATGTCATGTCAAAAATAACCAATCATGCAGCATTTGGACCTCGCGTCTAGGGCTTCCAATCCCGCAATACCGAGATCTCGGTATTCCGGGATCCCGCATCATTTTTTAGTCCCGCGTGCTGCGGGATTACGGGTGCAGGTTCCCGCGGGATTTGCGGGACTGTAAAGAAACATGCGCACGACCATTCGCGACCGCGATTCGTGTAATTACTGTGCGTCAAATGACGATGAAACATATTTACTTCGAAAACAAATTACAGAATTCGTCATGAGAATGAAGTTCGGCATTTTAAATTCACTTGAGATGGAGAGCAATGCCGAGGAAGGTCTTCTTCAAGGGACAAACAACTGTGAAGTTTCGCCATCCGATCCTGATACAAGAGGAGTTGGAGTCAACTATATCATCAGTATGTAACGTAATTTGCCCGTCACCATCTCGAGCTAACAGTCTCAAATCGATCATAAAAAAAGAAATTACTCTTTATGAGTCCGGAGGGTCAATGGGGAAATATCTCACACATATACAGGGTGTCCCGTAATGTAACGTCAAGCCGGAACTGGGTGTTGAGGCAAGTTGTGCTGGTTATCAGAAAAATATAAAAAAAAATCTATGTGGCATATTTTAAAAATAATAGGCATTTAAAAAAAATCAAAAAATTCTACTCCAGGTGACGGTCCTTTTGCTCGTGTTGCCACAAATCTTCACTTTTTCCAAATTTTTTTTTTGTTATGTAACCCTGAATAATGCTTCTCTAAATTGTTATCAAAATTACAAAACCAGCTGCTCCAGCTTGGATGAAAAAAATACATTATTCCCAAAAAAAATTTCAAAATAAAAATTTTGCCTAGTTTAAACTGACTGTACTGTAAAAAAAATGTACTACGCGAGTGTGGCAAGTGACGTCATAATTTGGCGCATTTAGTAAGGATTCCAAAATGGTATAACACATGGTAAATTTTTGCTGTAATTGTCGACAATATTTGGTTTTTTGGAAATAGTCTCGTTTTTAACTTTATCTACCTTGGTTAAAAATTATTATTCTAATGTGCCCAAAATTCAAGTTTCTGTGACTGACTACCGTACAGTCAGTCACAGAAACTTTTGTTACCATGACAGTAATTAGTAGTTGCCATAGGTACTGTGACAAAAGCCACCCGTGCGCGCGCGCCTTTACTACCTGCTCTGCCTGCACTTGTATTTGGTAACAGGGATAATAAGGATATGAAGTTTCGGTTATGGATACGGTTACGGATATTAGAATAATATTATACCGGTTTCGGTTACGGTCACGGATATGAAATCATTTCAGATTATCCGAAAGTCTCGGATAATTTCGGTTACGGAATTATTAGAATTTCAAAAATGTAGGTATAATACAAATAGCAAGATGCTGACNATATTGTGCACTTTATTCAGCACAGATTAAACAAGCTAAATGACAAATAGAATAGATTGAAATGACAGATTGCACTTGAATTACCCTACAGATGCAATAGAGTCGGGAACGGTCTACACACTGTGGTGCGGCATACGTTTTATCCGCACAAAATGTTGTTGTCCAGAACAGCAGTGACTAGTGATGTTAAGATCTACTGTAACAGTATTCTAGACTTTGTCCTTGTGTTATTTCTAGCAAAATGGTAGCGTAACTCCAGAGAAGAAGTGCCCCCGATCTCGGCCTCCTTCATACGCTGGAGGCGCTGTGGTCTGCACCGTATCCAGCGTGTTAGCCGCCGGGGGTGGGGGCGAACGCTCCGCGGGGGGCGGGGACTCGCCCGTGCTGCGTTCGAGGTCATCGACCTGCGACTCTCTGCACCATGCCCCGCCCACACCTACTACGCTGCCTAGGAAGCCTAACGTCTGTGAGTATTAGTTAGCTGGTGATCTAAGCATTTGTTGTGTGCTGAAGGGGCCGTAGTATACACCGTTTCCAGCGTGCTAGGGACACGGAAACTCACCCGTGCTACGCTCTCGGTCATCGACCTGCGACTCGCTGCACCATGCCCCGCCCACTCCTACTACATTGCCAAGGAAGCCTAACGTCTGTGAGTATTAGAGGTCGATCAACGCCTCCATAGTACACTACAGGCGCCGTAGTGTGCACTGTATCCAGCGTGTTAGCCGCAGGGGGCGGGGGCGAACGCTCCGCGGGGGGAGGGGACTCACCCGTGCTGCGCTCGCGGTCATCGACCTGCGACTCGCTGCATCATGCCCCACCCACTCCTACTACATTGCCAAGGAAGCATCTGTATTACGCTGGAGGCGCCGTTATATGCACGCATCCAGTGTACTGGGGACGCGGGGACTCGCCCGTGCTGACTGCTGCGCTCGCGGTCATCGACCTGCGACTCGCTGCACCATGCCCTGCCCACTCCTACTACCCTGCCTAGGAAGCCTAACGTCTGTGAGTATTATTTAGCTAGTGATCTAAGCATCTGTTGTGTGCTGAAGGGGCCGTAGTATACACCGTTTCCAGCGTGCTAGGGACGCGGAAACTCACCCGTGCTGCGCCTGCGGTCATCGACCTGTGACTCGCTGCACCATGCCCCGCCCACTCCTACTACGTTGCCGAGGAAGCCTAACGTCTGTGAGTATTAGTTAGATATCGATCTAGGTCTCTGTAGAGGCTCCGTAATAAATACCGCGTAGAGCGTGTTAGGCGAAGAGGGCGGGGGCGAACGCTCCGCGGGGGGTGGGGACTCGCCCGTGCTGCGCTCGCGGTCATCGACCTGCGACTCGCTGCTCCACGCCCCGCCCACTCCTACTACGCTGCCGAGGAAGCCTAACGTCTGTGAGTATCAGTTAGATATCGATCTAGGTCTCGTATGCTGGAGGCGCTGTAGTCTGCACCGTATCGAGCGTGTTAGGCGCCGGGGGCGGGGGCGAACGCTCCGCGGGGGGCGGGGACTCGCCCGTGCTGCGTTCGAGGTCATCGACCGTGCTGCGTTCGAGGTCATCGACCTGCGACTCGCTGCACCACGCCCCGCCTACTCCTACTACCCTGCCGAGGAAGCCTAACGTCTGTGAGTGTTAGAGGTCGATCTAGGCCTCCGTAGTACACTACAGGCGCTGTAGTGTGTCCCGTATCGAGCGTGCTAGGCGCCGGGGGTGGGGGCGAACGCTCCGCGGGGGGCGGGGACTCGCCCGTGCTGCGCTCGCGGTCATCGACCTGCGACTCGCTGCACCATGCCCCGCCCACTCCTACTACATTGCCAAGGAAGCCTAACGTCTGTGAGTGTTATTTAGCTGGTGATCTAAGCATCTGCAGTTGTGTACTGAACGGGCCGTAGTATACACCGTTTCCAGCGTGCTAGGGACACTCACCCGTGCTGCGCTCGCGGTCATCGACCTGCGACTCGCTGCACCACGCCCCGCCCACTCCTACTACATTGCCGAGGAAGCCTAACGTCTGTGAGTGTTATTTAGCTAGTGATCTAGGCATCTGTTGTACGCTGGAGGCGCTGTTATATGCAAGCATCCAGTGTACTAGGAACGCGGAAACTGGCCCGTGCTACGCTCTCGGTCATCGACCTGCGACTCGCTGCTCCACGCCCCGCCCACTCCTACTACGCTGCCGAGGAAGCCTAACGTCTGTGAGTATCAGTTAGATGTCGATCTAGGTCTCGTATGCTGGAGGCGCTGTAGTCTGCACCGTATCGAGCGTGTTAGGCGCCGGGGGCGGGGGCGAACGCTCCGCGGGGGGCGGGGACTCGCCCGTGCTGCGTTCGAGGTCATCGACCGTGCTGCGTTCGAGGTCATCGACCTGCGACTCGCTGCACCACGCCCCGCCTACTCCTACTACCCTGCCGAGGAAGCCTAACGTCTGTGAGTGTTAGAGGTCGATCTAGGCCTCCGTAGTACACTACAGGCGCTGTAGTGTGTCCCGTATCGAGCGTGCTAGGCGCCGGGGGTGGGGGCGAACGCTCCGCGGGGGGCGGGGACTCGCCCGTGCTGCGCTCGCGGTCATCGACCTGCGACTCGCTGCACCATGCCCCGCCCACTCCTACTACATTGCCAAGGAAGCCTAACGTCTGTGAGTGTTATTTAGCTGGTGATCTAAGCATCTGCAGTTGTGTACTGAACGGGCCGTAGTATACACCGTTTCCAGCGTGCTAGGGACACTCACCCGTGCTGCGCTCGCGGTCATCGACCTGCGACTCGCTGCACCACGCCCCGCCTACTCCTACTACTTTGCCGAGGAAGCCTAACGTCTGTGAGTGTTATTTAGCTGGTGATCTAAGCATCTGTTGTGTACTGAAGGGGCCGTAGTATACACCGTTTCCAGCGTGCTAGGGACACGGAAACTCACCCGTGCTGCGCTCGCGGTCATCGACCTGCGACTCGCTGCACCATGCCCCGCCCACTCCTACTACATTGCCGAGGAAGCCTAACGTCTGTGAGTGTTATTTAGCTAGTGATCTAGGCATCTGTTGTACGCTGGAGGCGCTGTTATATGCAAGCATCCAGTGTACTAGGAACGCGGAAACTGGCCCGTGCTACGCTCTCGGTCATCGACCTGCGACTCGCTGCTCCACGCCCCGCCCACTCCTACTACGCTGCCGAGGAAGCCTAACGTCTGTGAGTATCAGTTAGATGTCGATCTAGGTCTCGCTGGAGGCGCTGTAGTCTGCACCGTATCCAGCGTGCTAGGCGCCGGGGGCGGAGGCGAACGCTCCGCGGGGGGCGGGGATTCGCCCGTGCTGCGCTCGCGGTCATCGACCTGCGACTCGCTGCACCATGCCCCGCCCACTCCTACTACATTGCCGAGGAAGCCTAACGTCTGTGAGTATTAGAGGTCGATCGCCTCCATAGTACACTACAGGCGCTGCTGTAGTCTGCACTGTATCCAGCGTGTTAGCCGCCGGGGGCGGAGGCGAACGCTCCGCGGGAGGCGGGGACTCGCCCGTGCTGCGCTCGCGGTCATTGACCTGCAACTCACTGCATCATGCCCCGCCCACTCTTACTACCCTGCCTAGGAAGCCTAACGTCTGTGAGTATCAATTAGATATGTATCTAGATCTCGTATGCTGTGCTGGAGGCGCTGTGGTCTGCACTCTATCGAGCGTGTTAGGCGCCGGGGGTGGGGGCGAACGCTCCGCGGGGGGAGGGGACTCGCTTGTGCTGCGTTCGAGGTCATCGACCTGTGACTCGCTGCTCCACGCCCCGCCCACTCCTACTACGCTGCCGAGGAAGCCTAACGTCTGTGAGTCTCAGTTAGATATCGATCTAGGTCTCGTATGCTGGAGGCGCCGTGGTTTGTATCGTATACAGCGTGCTAGGCGCCGGGGATGGGGGCGAACGCTCCGCGGGGGGAGGGGACTCGCCTGTGCTGCGCTCGCGGTCATCGACCTGCGACTCGCTGCACCATGCCCCGCCCACTCCTACTACATTGCCAAGGAAGCCTAACGTCTGTGAGTATTATTTAGCTGGTGATTTAAGCATCTGTTGTACGCTGGAGGCGCCGTTATATGCACGCATCCAATGTACTGGGGACTCGGGGAATCTCTTGTGCTGCGCTCGCGGTCATCGACCTGCGACTCGCTGCACCACGCCCCGCCCACTCCTACTACGCTACCTAGCAAGCCTAACGTCTGTGAGTATTAGTTAGATATCGATCTAGGCCTCCGTAGTACAGTACAGGCGCTGTAGTGTGTCCCGTATCGAGCGTGCTAGGCGCCGGGGGCGGGGGCGAGCGCTCCGCGGGGGGCGGGGACTCGCCCGTGCTGCGCTCGCGGTCATCGACCTGCGACTCGCTGCACCACGCCCCGCCCACTCCTACTACGCTGCCGAGGAAGCCTAACGTCTGTGAGTGTAATTTAGCTGGTGATCTAAGCATCTGTTGTGTGCTGAAGGGGCCGTAGTATACACCGTTTCCAGCGTGCTAGGGACACGGAAACTCACCCGTGCTGCGCTCCCGGTCATCGACCTGCGACTCGCTGCACCATGCCCCGCCCACTCCTACTGTGTTGTCGAGGAAGCCTAACGTCTGTATTAGAGGTAGATCTAGGCCTCCATAGTACACTACAGGCGCCGTAGTGTGTACTGTATGAGCGCTCCGCGGAGGGCGGGGACTCGCCCGTGCTGCGCTCGCGGTCATCGATCTGCGACTCGCTGCATCACGCCCCGCCCACTCCTACTACACTGCCGAGGAAGCCTAACGTCTGTGAGTATCAGTTAGATATCGATCTAGGTCTCGCTGGAGGCGCCGTGGTCTGCACCGTATCGAGCGTGTTAGGCGCCGGGGGCGGGGGCGAGCGCTCCGCGGGGGGCGGGGACTCGCCCGTGCTGCGCTCGCGGTCATCGACCTGCGACTCTCTGCACCACGCCCCGCCCACTCCTACTACGCTGCCTAGGAAGCCTAACGTCTGTGAGTATTAGAGGTCGATCAACGCCTCCATAGTACACTACAGGCACCGTAGTCTGCACCGTATCGAGCGTGTTAGCCGCCGGGGGTGGGGGCGAACGCTCCGCGGGGGGCGGGGACTCGCCCGTGCTGCGCTCGCGGTCATCGACCTGCGACTCGCTGCACCATGCCCCGCCCACTCCTACTACATTGCCAAGGAAGCCTAACGTCTGTGAGTATTATTTAGCTGGTGATCTAAGCATCTGTTGTGTGCTGTGCACCGTTTCCAGCGTGCTAGGGACGCGGGAACTCGCCCGTGCTACGCTCTCGGTCATCGACCTGCGACTCGCTGCATCATGCCCCGCCCACTCCTACTACCCTGCCTAGGAAGCCTAACGTCTGTGAGTATGAGTTAGCTGGTGATCTAGGCATCTGTTGTACGCTGGAGGCGCCGTTATATGCACGCATCCAGCGTGCTAGGGACGCGGAAACTCGCCCGTGCTATGCTCGCGGTCATCAACCTGCGACTCGCTGCACCACGCCCCGCCCACTCCTACTACGCTGCCTAGGAAGCCTAACGTCTGTGAGTATTACATGTCGATCTAGGCCTCCCTTGTATGCTGAAGGTGCCTTAGTTTGCACCGCGTCGAACGTCTGTAAGTAGCAGTTAGATGTTGATATAAGCATCCGTTGTACGCTGAGGTTTCAAGCGTGCGCACCGTGGGAGGTGTATCGATCACGAGACACCTTTAACACGGGTTCCCTACGTAGTTTCGACTTACGTATTGGACCCTTTTGAACACATGGGAATGTTTAAAGATATCAAATTAGCTTAATAATTAGCAAACATTAATATTCACCATTCTTTGTACTGTTCCAGATAACATTGGAAGTTTGAAGAAGAGGGCAGCGCCCCTCCCGCCAGCCGTGGCCCTGTCGCACCCGCCGCCACACCCGCGGTCGACGCCGTCGCCGTCCGCCGACAGCGCACGATCGTTACACGGTAAGCTAAAAGAAATGGTTAACGTTTCAAAGGTCCAAACCTTTGATACGTGACAAAAAAGCCCAGTTGCATTAGGTTAGATCCAAATCTAACCTTATGTAACTGGGCTTTTTTGCCAGCTAAACAGTAAGAGTAGGCGCACAACGTTGATTTTTCGTCGGCCGATAGTTTAGTCGGGCAGTTGATCAGTATGGGCATGTATGGCCGATTCTTCATACAATTTAAAATCGGGCACAACTATCGGCCAACTAAAAATCAACGGTGTGCGCCTACTCTAAATTGAAAATTCATTCTACAAGCTGGTTTGACTTAATGGGAATAATTGTTGTCTCAATACCCTATCTAATGCATAGTGTTGCAGAGGTTATATGGTATTATTTTAGACACAAATTATGAATGGTTTTGGGCACAGCTGAAATCTTATAAAGCGCGAACTTTTATCGGCGCTGACCGGCTGACGTTATCATTATTTTATACGCCTAATAAATGTACCTATGTTCACCGTGCAACAAAAGCATTTCAATACCTATTGTTTTGAATTAATATACTTAGATGTCGTCGACTTCCAACCAAGACTTCTAAGTTTTAATTATGTTCATTTATGTATGTCTTTGTCAGTGGTAGGGGTGGGGGGAGCGGTGGTAAAGCACCGGCCGCAGCAGCCGCCGCCGACGCCGCCGCCCGCGACGCTACACAACGGCGCGCACCGCGACGAGCCCACACCGCCGCCTAGGAAGGTAAATACACCATTTCATATCTTAACTTCGAGCCATAAAGTCGCATTTTATGTAGCTGCAATAGGTGGGATTTTGCAACAAAACTTATGGTCTGATTGGATCTCTAAATTTTGAGCTAAAACTAGCATCTTATGTACGGGAGATAGGTGTGATTTTGCAACAGAATATTTATGGTCTGAGACGGTGATGACTTATATGGACTATCTCCATAGATAGTTATTTATTTATACCGTATTCATAGTAGCGATGGGCGATTGTTTCAGAAAGAAACAGTTGTTTGTTGAAAAAAGTGAGAAGAATAGCAACGGGAATAGCAAAGGCATTCTAAAATTACTCGCGTATTTTGTCAGCCGTTACTTACGAACCAAGCTTACGAATGAATATGTTTAGTGATAAAACATATTTTCCTCACGTTTATAATATTCATTATTTTATAAATATTGTGGAGAACACATACCTATTATAATGTTTTTCAATATTATTTATTTCTTTTATGTAAAATAACATCTATTTTTACGTATGTATAAGCGATTGTATAAAAGAATGATTTAGGCAAAGGGTTGATAAAACTTCTGACATGTAAATAATATAACGAGTAGTGATTAGCTACTAACATGGAGAACCAAGTACACATCTGTATTTGTTTTTGCTTCAGAAGAAAAATAGATTGCACCTGGAAAAGGCGGTCAAAGCGAAACTGAGAAGGGTAAACAAAGTCTGAGAGCGAAACTAGTGTTACACGCTTACCCTTGTTTGATTTTCGCCCTTTATTAATATTATTTTTGTCTGTCGACTCGATTATTGTGTCAAGAGACTAAATTATAGAAATTTTGTTTCAGCAGTCACTTGCAATAGCTAGTAAATTATTTTTAAAGCAGATAATTCAATCCTTCCAACTTTGAAACTGTCCGTTTATTTCCCTGCTTTATTTATCAATTTTGAATTTACTGTAGTTTTACTATTACACACCTAGAAAAAAATCTGTATCTGGCAAACATTGGCAATAAAGAACATTTCTAATACTCTTGACAAACGATCTCTGAGAATTACCATGAACTGTGCATAATCTACATCCTTGCATAGTTTATGGTGAGCTAACCCTGATATTGCATGCTTTTCTAACGGCTTTCAGCTTAGATCTGAATTAATGGAGCAATACCTCCGACTCAGCACATCCTATATCCTATATTACTAGTCATAATATATTTCCGTACATTATTACATCGTGACTCAACGCAAGTAATAGAATATGCTAAAGATTATCATTATTAAAATGATTCATTATTTTGTTCTAACAAGGGTGATTTGTTTGAAGTTAATTGACTTAATATTTTGCATGAAAGATTTTTAATTGTTCTATAAACTTTTATGATTATTGTAATAGTTTCTGAAACTGAATTTTTTTTATTTAACGCAATTTTTAGTAGGATACACACACTCTCTATTTTCAAAAAACTGTACACTTTTTCAAGTAACTTTTTATGAAGTTTAGACAAGTGATGATATTATAACACCGAAATTGCAATCGCACACACTAGGCATGTACTCACACAAGACAAATCGTCATGTCTAAGCAAATAGAGCTTCTATCCAACGCTGAATAGTTATAGTTCGCTCAGCTTAATAGAAGTCTTCACTATAGATTTTGAACTTAATTATTAAGTACCTAAAGTAACATGTGCAATGAAATGTTCTAGGAGTGTTCTAGTCAAGATTCGTCGCTGGAGTTGTGCGACATGTCGGATTCGTGCTTGGAAGACAGTCGACTGCAGTCGGCGCTGTCGTGCGATAGCTCGCGGTCGCGCGACCGGTCGCGCCGCAGCGACTGTCGGTCGCTAGACGTATCGGACACTTCGAGCGTGCATTCGCGGTCACCGTCTGCTTCTATAACTATGGTAAGACTAAATGTTAAAATGATTGGGCATAATGGACAATTGGACATTTGATGTTGTTATGGATGAAGATCTGTCGCAATGTGTTATGAAAGAGATTTCATTAAGAACGCCCAATGCCCATGCAACCAAACTCAGATCATTTATGACTAATTTATCAGTGAGTCAGTTGATAGTCCAGTCATTTGGTACAAATAATGAAATATCTGTTACATGTCAAAAAATCAAACAAACTTAGTAGCTCACTTCATCATTTCAGCCACAGCGTAGGAAAAGATACCACATAAATAATCACTCCCATTCAACTCACATCTCACTGCACTGCAAAGGAGTTTCCTATTTAATTGTCATTCTTGAACCTTTCAGATGGGCGGAGTTAGGCGGTGTCGCGCTCTATACGACTGCTCAGCTGACAACGAGGACGAGCTATCGTTCCGCGAGGGTGAAGTAATAGTGGTCATCAACGAGCGCACAGAAGATGACAACTGGATGGAGGGCCAAGTCGAAGGCACGGCCCGCCGCGGAATGTTCCCTGTCTCTTTCGTACACATGCTCCCGGACTAAACGGTGACCACACGTCAATATTAAGCGTCAATAAAACTGACCGGCATGCGATCGAACGAAGCGAAGTCTCCATACGAGAGTAAAATTTATCCTTAGCAACGTAGGAGTTCTGTAAACGCTGGCTGGTACAGCTTGATATGTTAACAAGGCAAAAAAAATTAGCTCACTGATGTCACTTAATCGGGACCGAGTTGACGTTGTACCTATCACTCCTGTGTTAGAGTGAATGCATGTGTTTATGACGTTGGACTGCAAATCTCGGAACACTCCGACGTTGCATAGCCCTGGTGGCAAAAATCCTCTATACTCTCATTAAGTACTAAAAATCATTAAAAAAAAGGCATATTATGTACAGTTTATGCGTAATCTGAGTGGTGATCAGAGGTCAATATGCAACCAAATTGTGGTACTTTGTATGTACCAGTGTTCAATCAATATTCAGTCACTACAGAACAAAGTAAGAGCATTATTGATAGTCTTTTTGAATTTAAACATTTATCTCACAATGCTGTTCGTAGTATACTACTTCTTAAAAAGGATACGAATTAGATATTGTTTGTAAGCCTGAACTGATTGTAACAGTGTCATTAGTACTGCGTTACAAATGCCTTTAAATTGGCAAATATGATGAAAGTAGTTACTTGTGCTGAAATATTTCACGGGATTGAATTACACTAGACATGGTTGGTTCTGTGTTCAATATTGCATCAATCTCAATATAGTTTCTGGAGAAGGATGGAGAACTTGTCATGTTTACTCGATTCTTTTGGCCTAAAGCTTCCGGCTTTCTTTCGAGTGGCCATGAGCTTATTTATAATAGTGTTTTTATAATTCAGTGTTGATTACATATACAGAAGCTTTGCTGTGCAATTGGTTTGTAATCTATGGTCAGTTGTTTAATACTGTAATGTTTGAAATGGACCACACCCACTAGAAAACCCGTTATCAAACGCAACACTCTTTGTTGCTCTTTGAAACTGTTATATAAAGTTATCCAATCTTGCTAAATATCTTACAGGGCACTTATCATTAGGCCTTACATTCATAGCGATAAAAGTTAAAATGAAACAGTGTAATAATTGTTTTTATACAACAATTTTAATACTCATAAAGTTTTCCATTCCAATTTAAATAATATAACGTATACAGTGTTTGGCATTTCGGAATATAAATTAGAACTATTGTTAAAACTAAACAAAATCTTAAAGTGGGGAAGTGTTGAATATTTAGTATGCAGGCTGCAAGTTATTATGACACCAATATTGTAAAATTGTGCCAGTAGCTAGTCCGTCCTGTCGCGGATTTTTACTTGTATTTTGAACGTTTTATTACATTTCTTAGAAATGCTTTTTAGAGATTTGCTCATCGTTTTCAAAATTCGTAAAAAATATTGATCTTAGAAAAAAAAGGAAAAAAATAATATAAAAAGCATGAATGTGTAGTATGTAATAAGGTCTTTTTAACGCTATACTCTATCCAAAGCTCTTTTAATTGTATTTTATGTTTCATTTGTTATTTTAATTCAGCATTCTCAGAGAACCTTTTGAGACCGTCAATATTATGTAAATGTAATTACGACAGGTTTTTATTTTAAGAAAATTTACCTTCTCTATAAGAATTGTAATTGTAACCTTGTCTAACTGATCTCTAATTCAAGTCTAATTGGACGTTAATTGTAAAATATAAAATTTAGAAATGTCGTGTATTAAGATGAGAGCGTGATTTGGATTGTTGAGACGAATATCGTCTATGTAAAGAAGAATTAATCGTACATTGTGAGGGATGTATTGTGAGAATGTCTGTAAAATAAGTATTAGTGTTAACTCGGATTTTTGTATACAGCGAACATGAAAACTGCTCATATAAATTCAAATTCGTCTGTGTATGAATAATGCTCGCTGTATCCAAGAATACCCGAAAAGTAGTCGTATCTTTCAAATAAAATTCAAGTCAATATTGCAAAACATTTAACATTCATAATGTAAATAATTATAAATCAAATTCACTATAATGTTCAACAATATTATTATAAAATAATCATAATATTGAAAACAATGTAGGTGTCACATCAGCAGAAATATGTGTAGGATGTGTTAATGTTTTGCATATTATTGATTAACCTAATATTAAGAGTAAGTATAAAATTTTCTCGACAAATAAAAAGTATTAAAATATTCACAAGGAGAGTTGCCATAAACATTGACGTAGGCATGTCTATGGATAGGCCAGATAGCGATTTGCCAAAAAGTATTGTGATCAGTAGTAGAAGAAAAGATATATCAGCGACAAACTCTCGGACCAGTGGCTGTTTGTTGTCTAGTTTGTTCTCGTAGTTGATATTGAGGTGTCTTAGATTGTTGGTGCATGCTGTCTATAGAGTTTATATTCTCAAAGGGAGCCATGGTCCAGCTTTTAGTCAAATGGAATTGTAAAAAACGTTCTTATTCATCAAATTAAAATACTGCCTGTATTTTATCTTCAACTGGCAACTTGACTTGTTTCGTTCCTAGTTCCTTCGTCTTGGACCAAAGAGTTTATATTACTGCAACGGAATTAGACGGAAACCAGCGTGACCTATGGCCCCCTTTGTGATGCAGAAACTTTGAATCTTGTTATTACATGATAAATTTTAACATTTTCCATGTTTAATAGACAAACTACCAATAACGTATGCAATACTTGTAGTGATAGCAATAGTGTTCCTTCTTATGGAATTATCGAACAATAATTTAGTGATGATTATTATACCATATGTACAAATGTGTATCGTTATATCCAACAGATATGTAGCCCTCATTCAGCTAATCTTCACATTCCCAACCGTATAATTAAGTTGTATGTATATTGAGTTGGATAAAGGTCCCATTATATTTATAGGCTGTTACGATTACATTTTAATCCATTAAGAAGTTACCTGTATACTGCGCGCGTTGCCATACATTAGTGTTAGTCGCTAATATTTAATATTGCTCACACTTATCTGCAACAAATGTTTCAACTATCTATTTGCAATTTCAGTGTACCTCTTACTAAATATCCTCACCTACAAGCAAATGGTTATAATTCGTTGAAGTAAATCCATAAATAACAAAATATCACGATAAATGCAGTTAATTCTGTTTCCACTATTGCCATGCATAAACTTGCGTGTAACGTTGCGACACAGCTATGTAAATATGAATAAATATTTTATTAGTATGCGTATATAGATAGATATGTAGGAAAACCTTAATTTATTATTTTGAGGATGATTTGTACCAGAAAAGTGAATAAAATAATTTTATCAGATTTAATCACTTTTCTAGTGCATACAATATTTATTATTTAATATATTGTGAAAATTAATTGTGATGAGATATTTTAATGCCATTTTAGCCTGTCAGTATGTTACTTATTAAAAGTTGTGTAACCAAATGATGCTAATAGAGTGTAAGATGTTTTACTATTCTTTATGAAGTTGTAGTTGAAATAGTCTTTTCTATTGTGTATTGTATGTGAACGGAAATCTGTATGAATTTATTAATACATCACTTTGATGTTACTTTTGAATTTTATTTATTCCTACCAATAAAAAAAAAACANTAAAAAAACATCTTTTATGCTGCTTTTACACTATGCGGAAATTAGCCGAGTCAAGTCAAAAAAACAGAGGAGTGGGGATGAAATTCATTCATAACATCCCCACTCCACTGTTTTTAGGGTTCCGTAGCCAAATGGCAAAAAACGGAACCCTTATAGATTCGTCATGTCTGTCTGTCTGTCCGTCCGTCCGTCTGTCCGTCCGTATGTCACAGCCATTTTTTTCCGAAACTATAAGAGCTACAGGTTCTACATTGGTTCACTGTTAACAACTTATTGTTAAATGCAAACAAAACTAAGTGCATTAAATTTACCTTACCTAATGTGAGGCAGGTTTCCACGCAATTAATGGTGAAGAATGAACCATTAAATAGCATAAATTCCACAACATTCCTGGGAATCACTTTAGATGCTAAACTTCAATGGGGTCCTCATATTGAAACTTTGTCAAAAAGGCTCAGTTCGGCTGCTTTTGCAGTGAGAAAGATAAGGCAATTAACTGACATTGAAACGGCAAGGCTAGTATATTTTAGCTATTTTCATAGTATAATGTCATACGGCATATTGTTGTGGGGCTCAGCCGCGGACATTGAAACTGTGTTTGTTCTGCAGAAGAGAGCAGTGCGGGCCATTTATAACCTTGGACCCCGATTTTCCTTGAAAGATTTTTTTAAGGAAATAAACATACTGACAGTAGCTTCACAGTTCATTTATGAAAACCTTTTATATGTCCGCAAAAATATAGAGCAATTCACGAAAAAGAGCGATTTGCATAACTTTAATACAAGAAACAAAAATAAACTTGCCGTTCCAAATTTCAGATTGCATAAGATTGGTAATTCATTTATGGGAAAATGTATTAAATTCTTTAATAAATTACCACAAACTGTTGTAGAACTACCCATTCATAAATTCAAAGCACATATTAAAAGTACCTTAATGAAAAAGGGCTACTATAAAGTCGATGATTATTTAAAAGATAAAAATGTTTGGGATACGTTACTGCCTAGCTCGCATAAATATTTATAACTTTGTACATTTTAAAGCATGTAAACCTTTGAAAAAGAGGCTGACAATAGTGACTGAGTTTCTTGCGCTGCTTCTTCTCAGCACTGGCCCATTTATTGTCCTGAAGCAGTGGTAGGGTTAATACCGACTGCGGGCCCGGACGGAGCTCGTCAGGTAAACTAATTGTATTATGTAATGCAATACCTATTTACTGTTATTATAATTATAATATTATAATGGCTTGATACATAGAATATTTGGTTGAATAACAAAATGTTATTAAATATAAATATATAAACATCATTTTATATGATTTATAACTATAATAAATAATATAATTAAATACTTATATGTATTTAAATTTTAAATACAACGTTATTTTCAATCACTCTTGCTTTTTATTTTATTTTCTCTCATATCAGAAGTGGGATCTGAACAAAATTAGGGCATCTTGCTCACATATATTCTTGTTTACGAGTTTCAGAGACGCAGCACGATGACGAGTCAACAGCATCAGCCTGAATGATGCAGCCGAGACGCCTGAGTCACCTGACCCTGGACTTCAGCGCCACCGGCCTGCTTCCAGCACGCATGGTGCTGGCCGGCCGAAGTGCTGGTTCAAGCACTAGCGATAAGGCGAGCAACCTAGCAGAGTACGTAACTCGCAAATGAAGGCAGTTGGCATGGAGGTGACTGAATCGCATTTGGTGGAAGCCGTAATACCAGGTATGTCAGACTTTCATATTTGATCGGACTTGTTGCGACTGACACCTAAAACCTTACCTCAAGTATTATTATTATTATTATTGGTTTTTGGGCCTTCATTTGCGCCAGCTCAACCAGGTTTGATCTATTGTGGCAGCCCTTGTCTTTAGAGTTCACTGCTTAGTCCCGTTGAGTCTATCTACCTCAAGTAATACAACGCCTGAATTCTTACGAACGTAAATAGCCAGTGTCTGATGCTGATCATGATCATGATATTCCTTTAAAGAAATGAAATTCGACTCATCTGAATATAAATTGAGGCGTTGCAAAACATTAAGCTATTAACTAGAGAAACAAACCTCATTAAAATGTGTTAAAAATGTTGCTACTGAACCGCGATGACATAGCTTGAAACCATTATAGAATACCTTTTGCCCACGGCTTGACCCGCGCGAGATTTGGTCTGCAACGGATCCTCGTAAATTGTAGTTTATTCTGGGTTGTAAACAGTAAAGCTGTAAAGTTTCACCCGAATCCGTTTAGTAGTTTTGCGTGAAGGAGAAAAAAAATCATACTTACATGTTAACATCCGAACATCCATACAAACTTTCGCATTACAATGCAATAGAAACAATTAGGTTGAGTGGAACCACCTAACTTTGACCACCGGTGTTTTTGTATGGAGTTTCACAGATATTTTACGTTTGTCAAAGTTAATATCCTTTTTATTTGGTGTAACCTCCCCTTAGACATGTAATGGCGCGATGAGGTTTCCTACCCATGACAAAGTTTACCCAACTTTTTAAGTCATAAAAAAAAAAGTTTAAAAAGACGTTAAACGTCAAGTGAAATAATTTTATAAATTTCTTATTGAATGTGTATTAGAAGTTTATTCAAATAATTAAGACATTTTCTTTGTGAATATTTTTAATTTTTCTTAGTCTTCTAGTCAATACATTTTTAAAAACGGTGAATTGTGGTGGTTATTTCCTCATTTGATGCTTTAAAACGGCGATTCAGTTATTGCACCTAGTATCTCATTTTCGATTTCTACAACATTAAAAACTAGGTTCTTACCTAGTGGAAACACTGAAATTAATATTAAAAAAAAAAATTCCTCATTTTATTGTGTTTTTACTATGATATAAACACGGATACAATAGACTTACATGTGGAAAGTAATTCCAGATATTTTTGTTATCTTGAATCGCACTCTTTCACTGCGCATTTACCCATTTTTGCTATTTTTCGTCCCGTGTCACTCGATCCGCGTCACGTAGAGCACTGAAATGACTTGAGCTACGATTAAGGCTGTGGCCTTAAGTTCAGTGGCAACACCTCGGCGCGGTAATTAGGGAAACGGGTGCTAATGCTGGCACCCATCAGTGATCAGCACTCCGAGATTTTTATGCAAATATTAAGGTTCACTGACTAATAAATAATAAATAAGAAAAAAAAATGCTAAATGAAGAATTTATTATTTTGTAACAACACAAAATAGTGATAACAAAATAACTGGAAATACCGCGAAAAATATCTTTTCTGTCATGGTGATGCGCTACGTCAAATTTCTCGCGAAATATAATGAAAATTTGTCTAGACAAAGTGCAAATTATAATCGCGAACCAGTCGAAAAGTGGTCGAAAAGCCCCTTATTTGTATGGAGTTTTGACGGATTCGATTTTCGATTCGATCAAAAAGTGCGTTTTGTCTAGGGGGGCTGGATGAGTTAAAAATTTGTTTTTATTTGATACTAGCGACCTCGAGTTTCGATTTTATTTTTTAGAGGTTTTCCGGAAATTATTCGAATTTTTCCGTCTTAAAAACCATCCTTGGACAACAACGATAATTTAAAAAAAAATGATAAAATTGGTTCATGCGTTGTTGAGTTATGCGCTTACCAACACATTTTGCTATTCATTTTTGATTTAAAATTGGTTGATGTGTTGTTTCTTTTAGTCGATAGGTAAATTTAGTACCGTTTAAAGCAAAATCAGTTATGTTACAACAAGTAGTTGGAAATATGTTTTTAGTGGGGAACCATTGTTATTCCCGGTGTTCGTTCGAAAGCCTAGTCATTGGCACTACCAATCGTTGTACCTCTTCCCCTACCTATCTAGTGTAACATAATGTTCATCAATGTTTCCAAAGATGTTTTTATCTGAGACATTTCCAAAGGGACTGTCATACTGTTTTAAGTAATAACAATAACTAATAATGATATTCCAAAGGTAAACTAGATGAGAATGCCTTATGGCATTAAGTTCGCCTAATGTTAATATTTTTGGCATTGAAGTATAACTAAATAAATAAATAAATCATATTCCTAGTACTAGTTCCACCACCGCTCAATCTACAAATGGTCAATTGAATGCTGAGTCCCAAAAAAAAAAGAAGAGGCACACACTCTACCACTTTACTTTTGTAGTTATTATGACAAATTTGAAAATTGCTTTAAGCAACAAAATACGAGTAATAAACAAACTTCTGCAAAATCAGTAAACAATTTTGGTTCTCAATTATAACTACCAATGTCCGAAGAATTTTAAGAATTGCCTTGTTCATTGTACTGTACTCTCTTTTATGACATGTCGCCAATCTCACGGCAGCTGCCATATTGAATAGGGAATATGCAAGGTTTTTGTAATTGTCACATTTCTCTAACCTTGGCATAATGCCAAGTGATCCAGTACTTTTATTTTTAATATTTTTAAAATACCTTAAACATTGCTACTAGAAATCTCGGACGTCACTCGTCACAACATGCAGCGGCCTGTAGAGTCATAACGATTTTGAAACGTCGAGTGGCAAAAATATATTAAAAAAATATATATAATATCTAAGAATTATATTTTTATCATGGTTGTCGAACGTGGCAAAAATGGGAACTAAATCAATAAAGTCATTGGCGCCCTCCTGTCAATGTATTGCATACGGTTTATTGTCGGACATCTGTACAAAGTTTAATTACGCAGCATCACACACACACACANAAGCCTGAATTCTTACGAACGTAAATAGCCAGTGTCTGATGCTGATCGTGATCATGTTATTCCTTTAAAGAAATGAAATATAAATTGCAGCGTTGCAAAACATTGAGCTATTAAGAGCTTCCTCGTTGTGTATAAAAAAAAAAAAAAACTAGAGAAACAAACCTCATTAAAATATGTTAAAAATGTTGCTACTGAAACGCGATGACATAGCTTGGAACCACTAGAATACCTTTAGCCCACGGCTTTAAATTTAGTCTGCAACGGATCTTCATAAATTATAGTTTATTCTGGGTTATAAACAGTAAAACTGTAAATTTCCCCAGAATCCGTTCTGTAGTTTTTGCGTGAAAGAGAAAAAAATACTTACATGTTAACATCCAAACATCCATACTAACTTTCGCAATTATAATATTACAATGCAATAGAAACAATTAGGTTGAGTGGAACCACCTAACTTTGACCACCGGTGTTTTTGTATGGAGTTTCACAGATATTTTACGTTTGTCAAAGTTAATATCTTTTTATTTGGTGTAACCTCCCCTTAGACATGTAATGGCGCGATCAGGTTTCCTACCCATGACAAAGTTTACCCAACTTTTTAAGTAAAAAAAAAAAAAAGTTTAAAAAGACGTTAAACGTCAAGTGAAATAATTTTATAAATTTCTTATTGAATGTGTATTAGAAGTTTATTCAAATAGTNCACACACACACAGGCACAGGAATTGTGAAACTTTTGCCACAATATGGTATATTTGTTTTGTTGTGTTTAATACTGTATCACATGTTGATAGCCCAATAAATAAATAAATAAATATTGAACTTCATTTTATAATAGAAATTAGTGGTGTCAGGCACGCAAACAGCCAAGTCTAAGGTCTTATGAGGGTTCTGACTGCAATGATTGCTTCACGCTTATTTAAAACACCTCTGCAAGGGGCTGGAAAGATGTGGTTACAAAAGTTCAAATGAGCAATAAATAGTTTATTCAATACATTCCAGCCACTTGACGGGTGCCATCGAACACCTCCTGCCACCTCTGCTCTTTTTATTTATTTTGGACGCCTTGATTAAGATGTTTGTAGAACAATTGGATAAACGTGCATTGAAAAAAAAACTGTTATTATAAATAACTTGAAAAAAAAAATAATCGAACTGCCTAAGGCGGGAATTGAAATTAGTTTGAGTACTGAAAATTATATTTTTTAAAGTTTCGTGNTAACCTCCTGCCACCTCTGCTCTTTTTATTTATTTTGGACGCCTTGATTAAGATGTTTGTAGAGCAATAGCTTAAAAAAAAAATATTTGGATAAACGTGCATTGAAAAAAAATCTGTTATTATAAATAACTTGAAAAAAATAATTGAACTGCCTAAGGCGGGAATTGAAATTAGTTTGAGTACTGAAAATTATATTTTTTAAAGTTTCGTGATTTGAGCTCATCGTTCTGTATACTCCTTGAATCCTGGCCAGATGTCTGGATGTATACAGGGTAATGAGCACAAAAATGTAAATTTTTGGCCGTGCCCTTGTGGCGTTTTTTACCGAGGCCACACATTAAAAAAGAGGCTGTGCCGTACATTCGGCATTTTTACCGAGGCCCACACATTAAAAAAGAGGCTGTGCCGTACATTCGGCGTTTTTATCGAGGCCCACATCAATGGCTGTGCCGTATAATGTGTATGATCACATTTTTGTCAATGATTGTATTATGTTGTTGATTTTCTTTGATATATCAAAATGATTAAATAATTTATTTGCAAAGTGTTATTCGCGAGCCTGACTGTGTCGGCTGCTCGTCAGTATGGCCGTGTGGGAGATTAATTTATTTTATTAAAAAAATATATCTTAATTTAAATTTAAACAAGGAGTTTACAAACGACTTGTTATTCTAACGACAAAAAGCATTACGTGTTCTCCCCACCTTGCCTTGCCGCTTGTTTGTGTCGTATTATAAAAGCGCCTGCAGCGCTCAGAGGTGGTCAGTGTAGTCCCCTCGATCGGGCCCACTAGAGTGAGCCCGCCGTAGGCTGGACTTTGGTCCAACACCGCGGTGGGCAACCCTCTAGTTGGGTTCGCCACTGATCGGGCGCCTTATGCGCTCGATACGGCCCGATCGCGAACGTCGGTCTGCGACCGACGCGGACGAGAAAAAATCTATGTGGCATATTTTAAAAATAATAGGCATTTAAAAAAAATCAAAAAATTCTACTCCAGGTGACGGTCCTTTTGCTCGTGTTGCCACAAATCTTCACATTTTCCAAATTTTCTTTTTGTTATGTAACCCTAAATAATGCTTCTCTAAATTGTTATCAAAATTACAAAACCAGCTGCTCCAGCTTGGATGAAAAAAATACATTACTCCCAAAAAAAATTTCAAAATAAAAATTTTGCCTAGTTTAAACTGACTGTACTGAAAAAAAAATGTACTACGCTAGTGTGGCAAGTGACGTCATAATTTGGCGCATTTAGTAAGGATTCCAAAATGGTATAACACTTGGTAAATTTTTGCNCACACACACACACAGGCACAGGAATTGTGAAACTTTTGCCACAATATGGTCTATTTGTTTTGTTGTGTTTAATACTGTATCACATGTTGATAGCCCAATAAATAAATGTTGAACTTTATTTTATAACAGACTAATTAGTGGTGTCAGGCACGCAAACAGCCAAGTCTAAGGTCTTATGAGGGTTCTGACTGCAATGATTGCTTCACGGTTATTAAAAACACCTCGGCAAGGGGCTGGAAAGATGTGGTTACAACAGCCACTTGACGGGTGCCATCGATAACCTCCTGCCACCTCTGCTCTTTTTATACGCCTTGATTAAGATGTTTGTAGAGCAATAGCTTAAAAAAAAATATTTGGATAAACGTGCATTAAAAAAAAAACTGTTATTATAAATAACTTGAAAAAAAATAATCGAACTGCCTAAGGCGGGAATTGAAATTAGTTTGAGTACTGAAAATTATATTTTTTAGAGTTTCGTGNTAGAAAATAATTATGATGGGTTAATGTTTTTGGGCGGTTTTTTAGGCGGTTTCTGACAATGTCCTTTGGATTACCCCGCGCGAGTCATCTGCGTAAGAAAAAGTAACCGATCCGCGCGCTTGCGCCATCGCATACAAAAGACATCAACGCGCTGGCGCTACGCTCGCTCGTTGTGGTCAAGACATTCAATTATACTTTTTATAATGTTTTAAGATGATAATAAGGTTGAACTCAGGATTACTTTTATTTTATTATTATTGCACAAGAGCTGCTTTTGGGTTAATGATAATGTGAGTGTTTCCAAAATGAAAATCCACTAAAATATTTCCAATTTTTAAATGTCTTTTTGAAGGTCGAAGTTATTCTACGATTTAGTAATCTTCCACTAAAGTCTAAACATTAAATTACCCTCATATTGAATAGTATCTAAAATGTTCGGGTGAAGGTCAGAAAAAAGAAGTATTAAAAAAAATAAAAGATTTTATTTACATGAAAAAATAGACTGTACAAAACAAAACATCTCGTTAAAATTGACTAGACCGAATCACAAATCACCACCAGCCACTGCTGGAGCCGTGGCCGCCTCCGTAGCCACCTCCGTAACCACCTCCGTAACCACCTCCGTAACCACCTCCGTAGCCACCTCCGAAGCCGCCTCCGTAGCCGCCTCCGTAGCCGCCTCCGAAGCCGCCTCCATAGCTAGGGGATGAGACCACTTGCTTCACTGTGACCACCTGGGGGACTGAGACCACTTTGCGGACGTGCACGACCTGGGGTACGGAGACCACTTTGGGTACGCTCACGACTTTGTTGACGGCTACAACGCGATGGCTGATGGCAGGCGCAGAGTAGCCGCCAGAGTAGCCGCCAGAGTAGCCACCAGAGTAGCCACCAGAGTAGCCGCCAGAATAGCCGCCGGAGTAGCCACCGATTCCGGAATAGCCGGAGTGGCCGCCGCCGTAAATGCCGCGCTTGTCGCGGGCCTCTCCCGCCATCGCTACGGCCAGTACGGCGCACAGGGCTACCTGAAATATTACAAAAATTGACATTAAAAATTAGGCAAATAATTCTGTATCTTTACATAGAGTAGGATCATCGTAATCATTGATTATGTGTATCGTTCACGTTTTGTACGAGTATGTTTAGCAGAGAATGTCATTTGACATTTTGTTCGCTTTATGGGCCGATTCATAGCATTTAAGTAATAAACACATTAATAATTTATTGTGTGTAATAGCCGATTTCGTATTAAGGAAAAAATGTACTTAAATTGATTTCATGATAAGTCCGGACGTGACATGAATGGAAATTGCGGTTTGTTTGAAACAGTAAAAAATATACAACAATAAAAGTAGGTAATTAAGTACCGAAATTAACAAAACAGTCAGTTATTTGTAATACTGCGTAATGTCACGCAATCGTGTTAGTCACAGATTAATCAGTTATACAGAATAAGTATTACGAGTTTGCATTCGCGAACACAAGACGTTCAAAATAATTATTTACAATACAGGCTTTGCTTGATAGCAAGAAAAATGGTGATCCATTGATCCCATAGCAACAGTTTTTCATAATCATGAAATCTTGAAAATTCAGCGACAAGTTTAAAAACAACCGTGTACGAATCTCCTGTCCCTTTTTCACTGACTATTATTTAACACTGCTGAAATATGTATTTTAAAACTGACTGATTTTGTAACATATGGCACTTAGAAACTCACACCCCGTATTAGTAAACAAAACTATATCAAATTATGGATTTGTAACGGAAATGGAATCTAAAATTTGTTTTTATAACTCGGGCAGCTGATTAGTAAATCGTCGAATGAATACTCACAAAGAGTTTCATGTTGTGGTTGGTTGTTGAGTGCCTGGTGATGAGTGATGCTGGGAGGATCCTCCGAGAATATATATAGCGCAGCGGCGTCGCTTGCGCAAGCGTCCTCGCGAGAATATCCTTAGCTGCGGTTTAGTAGTAAAGTTCATTAACCAGATCTTTAGTTTAATGTGTTATTTATAACTAAATTATGTTCTAATGACATATAAATATTTTAGATGAAACGCAAGGTTTATGTATCCCTTCTAGCATTAATTTTTCACACAATTTACCTTTCATTAGAACTTTTAAAATAGAAGAATAGGAATCTTGATAGCAACATGTGTGTGAAAATAATGATGAATTGAAAGTACGAGTAATTACACGTATATTTTTTAATTTAATTGAGATGAATAAATGAGGTTTTAAAACAATGCAATTTTTTCTCTGCACATGTCTGGAGTACCTAATGGTAATCAATGTTAGTATTTCTATAACTAGAATCGCTAGCACAGAATAAGTAATAGTACAGGTACAGAAGGATTACTCCGCAAGACCATTTAAATAAATGCGAGTCTTGCTACGACGCGATACAGTGGAATTCAGCTCGCACAGCACTACGTACCTGCAATTTTATTCACCTACAAGTTTTGTCTCTTTCTATCGCGTGCCTCTGAACTCTTCTTACGCTGTTAGGGTTGCTGTCTAGTGAAAAAATATTAATCTACTTATTTGTAATGAGGTACGTATGTAGGTAAGTATGCATTCATTATGGAAAACCTTGGGAGAGGCCTTTGTCCAGCAGTGACGCATTCTGAGCAGTAGTCATAGTAGGTTAGGTTCCTATACTATCCTAAGAATTATCGATTACCCACTTGGCCAACATACCTTTCAGCATCTTTGGGAAGCGAAAAAAAAAGATGAATCCGGTAGATTACTTTTCGAATTTAAACACCCGAACGCCGCATAATATTTCTTTCTCTTTATGTCCATTTTTAAATAATACTTCGATCATAGAATTATAATCATACTACAACGCACGCCAGCGTCCTGACGAGCGCGCGCGTGACTCTCGACTGATATTATAATACCCGCCGGCGGGGCGCTTCGCTGTAGGTAATTATCGGATGTACCGCGCGGAGTGAGCCAGGCCTGTCGCTAGAAAGTAATTATAAAAAAATATGATTTCTGTGTGTAATTTGATTTTCCATCATAATATGAAAGGTTATAATATCTTTGTGGAGATTTTTTCCGGTAGATTATATCAAGTAGGTAGGTACATATCTATTAGATTTTCAGAGTTCATCCTACAAATAACAAGTAGTATAGGCTGTTTGTTGCAGCTTTCTATCTTAAGATAAAAAAAATACCATATACAACTTATACATAATTTGCAATAAAATAAGTAAGTACATGTCACCATTATGCATGGCACTTGGTTAATTACAGAAATATGCTTATCGTTTCGTCACTGGCCCCGTATGTTAATATTGTCACCTACATACGTACTCGTATCTTATTACTTTAACAGTGATGCGGCTTACAGTGTGGTGCAATGTGATTTATTTGAAGACCGCCAAGGATGATACTGATTGCCTGCGCGCAGCGCTTCTTCCCATAGTCAGTAGATTCAGAAAAGCTACGAAATGGACTGTAGGGTAGTTTTGGGATCAAAAAGCTCTAGCAAGGTTCTATAGTTCATTTGTTGGCCATCTTCGCAAACTGTCGGAAAAATGTCCTACCTTTCAGCTATGTATCTTTGCTGACTCAAATATCAAATTAGTTGTGTGTGTGTGTAGTGAGTTATTTGCAAATATGCCTATTACCGTACATCTAGGTACATAAATTAAATAACTACAGTACCTATCCTATTTGTTATTTTATTGTTTTCTTTAAAACGTTTTACACTTTACAGTTTTTGGCAAATAATTTATACGAGTGGTTCCGGGCAATCATTTAAAATGAAGATGTTATGAGGGTTCCTTAATTAATATGATTTTAAATATTAATCGCTCCTTTTTTGGGTTAATATTCTCACGAATATTAGATTGGTAGATAGAAAGTAGTATCGATTACATTTGGACTGGTTGCTGTAAGCGATATATCGATCGATTGCTAATAGTCCGATGGAGACACTTGCCGCTGTTGTTGCAGATGCATTTCAGTTTGTTGAGCAACGGAGATGGGAACATAAGATTAAAATAATTGGCGTTTGTTTATAAGTGTGAACAATTATTATCTCGCTCTTCGATATTTTAACTTTTAATTGGTGGTACTGAACTTTTGTCCCTTTATGGCGATGTGGATTTATTAAGCTGAAATTCCAATAAATTCTCATCCGTCATTCTGTCGGTAATGTATAGCCCATAATTTAATCATCACTTTAGATCAGCGGTTCCTAAACTTATTTTGTCTACTGCCCACTTTGAGAATAAATTCTTTTTAGCGCCCCCATTTTTGTAGTCAAGAGTCGAGTGCTCAGTCGGTGTCTAAGAGTCCTCCTAGTAGATGAAATTATAAATCGCCTCGCAAGCTTCTACACAATGTCTCTTACCGCCCCCCTTTAAGCCTGCAGCGCCCACAAGGGGGCGTTATCGCCCGCTTTGGGAAAGACTGCTTTAGATAATAACTACGTAAATAAAAACGTTGAATTTCGAAGACAGAACAACAGACACAAATAATAATACAACTTAGATAGTTGATGGAACACTGATAAGTAATAGAAGCTAATTAGTTCCTGAAAGTTGCTTAATCATTTTCCACGCAAATGGTTCAAGATCGTTAAATGTTTGCATGACGTCGTTTGAACGAACAATGGAAGGTCTAGGGAAGTGTTTGATACTTGTTAGGCCCTATGAGAACAATTATTTGATCATTATTATTATGATACTTGCTGCGACCGCGACTTCTTACACATGAAAAATGGTAGTACCTACAGTTCATTTCAGTCAAATGACGTCCACTGCTGGAAAAAAGGCCTCCCTAAGGATATCCATAACAACCGGTAGTACAACGTTGATAAAAAACATTACGATATTTTTTCAATACTATCAGGTCTATACTTATCGAGACCATACATACCAAAATGATATTTAATTTATGAATAGACATAAACCTAGACACACAGCTTACAAAACCAAAATACTCTTGCATTGCTCTGGATCTCTATCTTTTTTAAATGTGGTCAAATAAAGAGCCCATGGAGATTATGAACCTACAGGTTTCGTAGTCCAGATGAGGCCGTATGCAATACAAATTCCTTTGTGTCGATAGGAATCTTTCAAAAGTGCCTCATGTCGAAACCTGTCCGTCTTCGGGCCGTCCAAGCCGTCCATACTGGTATCCGTTCTTCTGTTTGAGCGCCAAATATGTGAATATGTGTCAAGTGGTCCCTTTGTGTGCGTGAGAACGGACGGTATTGCAGTTTTTAAATAAATTGGTAGCTTGCTGCATACGTTGATAATCTTCTGTGTCTTTATAATGTGTCGGGAACATTAAATGCATTGAAACTTTGAGATCATTAATTCAGCTCCCAATATTATTAATGTACTATAGCTACTTAATGCTCATCATAAATTTTATGTAAATATCATTTATTACCCTCTGATGCAAACATTTGACACTGAATTAAATGAGATGACTCTATTTTCGCATTATTTCCGATTCATGTCACGGTTATACGAGTGCAAGTTGAATAGGTTAACTTGGATTTGTCACAAAAATACTATCTGTTCATACTCGCGTTGTGAAAATGTCTTTGTCTACTCACGGACATTGCCCGTGGGCGGCGTGACCGGAGGGAGCGGCGAGCGTTCGGCGAACGAACGAGCAATGTTCGGTTCGCGAGCGAACATCGAAGAAGACGATCCTGACGCACTCTCTTCAACGACTTTACACAAAACGGTCTCGATAACATTGTAAACTTATACCGAATAGATAATTAATTTCATACAGTCCACTCTTTTCATTTATAAACTTCCACTACACTCACTATCGAAGTAACAGTCTTACTATTATTTTTCTAATAGTGTCGATTTCGCAATATTCCGATGTATCGATGGCTGACTCTGTTACTCATTTACTCGGGAAAACACAGTAAGGTGGGCCATGTTTTGAAACGGTTGGCCAAGACAGTCAAAAGCTGCTTAGTTTTCTACTAATGAAAGGAACATTTCTTTAAACTGAATCAGTATTTTTTAAATAGGTATAATACCTCATACAATCACAAATAATCTGCTCGTATATTACATTTAACAACTATTGCATCAAATATCATAGTCAAGATGAACTAGTACAAATAAATCAATAAAATGTGATAAAATCGTCGGTAACTAATGAATAGTTGTCGACATAAGTATCCGTTTCCGTTATTAATCATAGCGCGGGGTCACGGCCGCTGATGGGGCGCCGCGAACTTGACCGAGGCTGCGCGAGCGCACGGTTACTAGCACTTTCTAAATGGTGTCTCTTAACTCTACATAATCTAATACCTATAAAAGCGAAAGGTCACTCATTGACTTACTCACTCATCATTAAATCTCAGAAACTGTAACACCTACAACTTGAGATTTGGCAGGTAGGTTCCGATTTTACAAAAACTCCACCCCTAAAGGGGTAAAACGGGATCCACACGTATGAAGTCGCTGGCGACCGCGGCTACTAGTGAATTATAAAATAATTTAAAAGTTTTATTATGAAAATCATGAAAACAAAAAGGAAATAGAATTCTCTTCCATCTTCTGTTTTTCCCACTATTTAGCCTGGGTTTCTTTAAAACTCGAGTGAACAGGTATATGTATAATGAGTAAACGTGCTCTATCGTAGACCTTATTATCACTTACCATAAGGTGTGATGGAGGTCAAAAGTAGACTCGTTCGTACAAAAAAAGAAAACATCTCTAACAAACAATTTCTATAATTAGAAAAACATTTATTGTCGGATCTATTTGTTATGTTTATTGTTTAAAAAAATAGCATCATTCTGCACATGAAAACATTGTTAATCAAATAAACAAAATAAATAGGACTAGTTCTATTAATAACTCATAACCTATGTTGGCATCATTCACCTTGAAAACCACGCAAATAATGCCTTCGGCGGAGACCAGGAAATAGACTGGGATGAATTCATCAAAATAATATTTGATAAGTTTTACATTCATGTGTCAAAACAGGTCAGAAACTGACCTAATGAAAGCAATAACAAAATTAACAAACTTTTTAATTAGGATTAATTTATAGGACAGGCACGCTGGCGTAACGCATGCGTGGTGTGGTCACTGCCTACTACAGGTTTTTTACAAATTACTACCAACGTATTTTTATCGGTCAAGAGTTCGTCGTGTCGTGGGATGATGACACTGTTTTTTGAATTTTTACTTTCCCTTAACCCTGGCTGTTACGATACTCTGCCCTTTAAGACACAATGTAATATATGCTTATGATGTTATGCTTACGTTTATATTAGGCATGCAGTCATCGATGTTCTTATAATTTGATTTTTATGATATTTATAAACGTCCATGACGATTATTGCTTTTATTAATTTTGGGAATACCACACCTTGAGTGGCAAAAATAGTAGGGTTGTCATGATAAAGAAATTAAAATAACGTGAAATAATTTAATACGTATCTAGCTGTTCGATCTAAAAAAAATCGACAGACAAGTAAATAGATGAATGCTTATTTTGTAACCAATATGACATGAATATAATAATTTATTTTAATCTTAGGGAATAGTCGACGTGCGTGCACTACGAATACTTACACATTATTTTTGCACCAATTAAACCACCGATGTGCCGTCATTAGCATAAAGATTTTTATGTTAAATGACTTCAGTCCCCTTTTTTCTGAGGAATATACATTTTAGACACCAACTATTGGTCACCATGTCACTCGCGTTATTAAAACTCATCAGTATTGTACCTCCCAAAAATGAAACAAATAAATAATAATACTTTGATTTGAATTAAAAAAAAGGCATTCTGTATAAGTAGACAGCCCTATGGCGCTCCGGGATATTCAATGAGCTGCGCTTGCGCCACTCAGACTGGCCATGCGATCTCCATGCAAAACATGCGTCTCGTTTTGCATTTGCTCATAAACCGCAGACAAACTTTGTCGCTGATTCATTGATGCACTCGTGCGCAAGGTTGTGAGGCGCGACATTAAACTTTAGATGGAGAGATGTTTTGTTATTCGGTTTATTTTTAACTGTACGACTAGGCACGGAGTTTTGTAGTTTTTATCATTATTATCAATGTGTTAATCTAAGGTGACTCTAAAATTAAATTCCGTAATAAATTACGTTAAATATTTAAATTATACTTAAGGTTAAGGAGCCATTTTAGGGCACCTCATCATAACCATAATGTTAATATCAGCCACCTACTCTACATAAAGCCTACGTGAGTTACAATAGTATATCAGTCATGGTGCTTTTTAAATAATTTGTCTTCCTATAATTAAACCATACATCATCATCATCATCATCATTTCAGCCATAGGTCGTCCACTGCTGAACATAGGCCTCCTAAAATGACTTCTACATCGCACGGCTAAACCATACGCTTAGTCAGTAGGTGCCAGGTGTACGTCAATACAGCAAGTGCTTAGTGCAAGCACAGAATAATAATAAGTACTACGTACAGAAGTTTTACTTCGCGAAGGTATTTAAAAAATTTATGCTCAATGTCATTAACAATATGGTGTAATTTAGCCTGTCTCAAGAGTCAAGCACCATTTTGTTGACAAACGTCAGTGATCGGCACTGCGCCGAAGCTATAGGGCTGACTTCGGTAAAATGATGTGACGTGAGGTGCCAAACTGCGGAAAATGGCGGAGGAAATACATGATTTACCATAAATTATCATTAATAATATTAACTACTTATTTACCTCTCAGTGTCTTGAGATAACTTAAAAAAGTACATTCTGTGTTTTTATTATTATATAGGCAGTTAAATACTGCACAGTATTTAGTACACCATTTTCTTTATTTTCTTCCATCATACACAAGAATACGTGTGCGTGAGTCAATGTTCTCTCGTATGTGAGGCCTTGTCGAATAGTATCCTGTAGGTGGGCCATCGTGCGTGTTTTGTTTTCGATGTAAACTCGCGGAGATGAACAGGCCTGGTGCAAGTCATATTGTTATCAAAGGTGATCAACCGAAGATGTCAGTTATTTCAATGTAACTTTTAAGTGACTCTCACTCCGCTGGTAGTTTTTGCACAATCCTTATCTCAGGTATGCGATCCTCAACTCAGAGTGAAGTAATAATCTCATTCCTTTTCCAACATTATTGGACTTCAGATGGTTATCGCTGAAAAAAAGATCTTGCCAAATCTAGGAACGTGGTCAAGAATATTCTGACTAGACTGAAAAAAGAAAAACAAATGTAGGTAGATGGACTAGCTTCGGCCTGAGGCGTCGCTCGCGTAAATGCCAGTCATAGAGACGATCGCGTAACATAGTCTTAAAATTTTAATTATTCTGAAGCGCTCTTATTTCTTAAATCCTACAGATTGAGTGTGAAATATCCTTTCTTCATTCCTTCGTAATTTTTTTCTTTAAACAAGTTTTATTCTTCTTCAGAATCCAATATTTATGTCCAATCTTTTGAAATCAGAACAGTCAAACGCAAAGTTGTTTTCTTTTTAGTTATCATTTTATTACGCAAACGCATTTGAAGTTGCATTACAGTCAGACTGCTTAAAAGTGCAGCAATTAGGTCTTATCGCGTAAATGTTTTATCATTCGTTTTTGCAAAGCTAACAGTTCCTCTCACATTGTTCAGTCCGAAAGACGTTACGTTACTTAACAGTAACACGCACGCGTTGGTTCAGGCAACAGCTCATCAAGGTAAACACTGCGGCATACACCTTATGTAATTGTAATAGAAGATATTTTTCAACTGATGGACTGTCGAGTGTATATACCTCGCGCTTTCCGTGATTTTGGGATAAAAGTTAGCTAAGCCTGACTGGGATATATGAGGCCTATTTATTACGTAACATAGTCCCTCCTTTCACTAGTTATTGCGTTATTGGGTGGCAAACAATACAACTTTCACATTTCCAATACCAGTAGCGTAAAGATCTAGAAGACTCGTCCTATTTTTAACTTCCTGCTACCTTCAATGATTCTGGTGCATTAACAACAACTTTCTCGTAGCGCTCATCCTGACTGGAATGAAGAAAATGGATTTATGGCATACTACACTCGCGAGCAAAAGTATGGAATCACTTACATGAAGTTGTTTCCACGCGATCTTGTGTACTAACGAATTTGTTAGGAACAAAAAAAGTGGCACGCTTTCAATTTGCTCGTACACATCTCGATGTTAAGTCGAGCAAGCCACCCCCATAAGCCACTGTTTCAGCGAACCAGCACTGCACAAATCGCTCCTCAGGCCGCCTATAAACCCGACCTCTTCGACTGCTGCCCTGCAAACACAGTTTGCATTCATCGGAGAACAGAACTCGCCTCCATTACTCGCCTTCCCATCGAAATGTGTACGAGCAAATTGAAAGGGTGCTTATCGGTGACCTGCCGTCAGTTTCGAGCCTGTGGCAGGCCTTTTTGGAGTCAAATTCTATTGCTTATATCTTAGACGAACTGTCCACTCGCTAACAGCTATCTTACGAACATTTCTGAGCTCTTGATGGACATCGATTCTAGTCAAATGACGATTTCATAGAGAGGTTGACATGAAAAAACGGTCTTCCCTCTGCGATGTGCGCCGGCGCTGTTCAGAACTTGATCTCGGGATAAAGCCACCAGTCTCCCGAAAGCGTCTTAAAACTTTCGAAACCCAGGACTGGCTTATGTGGCGCTGACGTGCGACAGCCCGCTGGCTGAGCCCTTCTTGCAATAGTGCAACGATTTGTGCTGCTTCTGAAGGTGTAGAATCCCAGGTAAAGTGTCAAAAGAAGCGGAGATGTGTATGAATCAACGTGTGAAAGCAAAAATCTGAAAACGCGTGCTTTTATAGGGGGTAAATAGGCCGCAACTCGCGACGTATCAAACAGTTCATACATGTCTTTTTCGTTACTTCTTCACATCAGCCGGGATATCTTTTTAAATACTGGTGTGATTTAAATGAATTTAGTATCAATTTAAAGATAAAAGTTTAATCTTTAAAACGGTGCCACTTTTTTGTTACTAACAAATTCGTTAGTACACAAGTTCGCGTGGAAACAACTTCATGTAAGTGATTCCATAGTTTTGCTCGCGAGTGTAATTTGTATGTATTAGTATTGTTGTGGCCGCCCGCGACTTCGTACATGTGAACCCCCTTAGGGATGAATTTTCGTAAAATCCGTTCTTAGCGGATGTCTACACCCTACAAAAAAACTACCTGCCAAACAAGTTTGTAGGTGCTATAGTTTCTGAGATGTCGTGATTAATCAGTGAGTGCTATTTCGCTTTTATATGTATATCAAGTCAGGGGTCAAGGTACCTCACATAGCAGTTTGATTCACCCATTCCAGGACACCGCGTATGTGCTCCAATAGTATGCTATAGTATACCCGGTCAGTTAAGCTTCTACTTCTTGTTGCTCAACAAGATATGACACCTATCGTTAGATGCAACATCATTATAATTTCATGTTATTCAAATTAGGGATAAAAATAACCTGTTGATTCGGTGGCAAGGGCGATAGTCATAAAATAGTTTTGTTATGTTTTTAGGAAAACGTCTTTTTGGTCTTTTTGAAATTTTATCGCTTCGGTAGGTTTAGAATAGGTAGGTAGGTACGTATGACTAACATAGTAACTAGTTTTATATTTACTGGTTATGTTTGATGTGAGATACCTTATAAAGTTACTTTCGTTAGGAGTTTCGTTTTCCGTAACTTTCCACTACTAATAATATTGGTAAATTATGGAACTAAAATAAGAGTAAAACATGATTTGGGTTAGTACCATTTAATTATTGATAGAATATCACAGAAAATAGGCAACGTTATACAAAAAAGAGTTTAAGTGTATTTTAGTCGCATGAAGTAGTCGCTGGATGTGAGGAGTTTATGGCCGAATTAACCCAGTTAGATTAATCTGCGTATTTTGGCTAATTAATGAGTAAGGCTTGATTCACACTAGCAATCATAAATTGCAATTTACCTACTCGAGTTACATTTCAAAAGCTTACTTTAACAGATATCTTTCGAATGCTTTATTTAATTCTTGTTGTCCCATGACAGCTTTTGTGGAAATACCAAAGATCTTGCGCCTAAGAGTTGCATTGCAAGCAACAGTTATAGGTCTGATAGGCAATTCAAACACAACCATACTATTTCTTGAGGACATTATCTTTGATATCACTTTTTACTTAGTCTTATATAATGCCAACGCTTTATGCTTCATGTGAATCAAGCTTTACTCTATGTAGCAACAAATGCGGACGGCCGCGGGCGGCGGTTGCACTTGGGCGATATGTTCCAGACGCGTCACTTTGCGACAAACAGCGAAGATTGGCGTTTGATTGAGTCAGTCCAGTAAAACTAGCGCTTGTTTTGACGAGGAAATATCAAATGTCACAGTTTGTGAAATAACTCACTTAACATTCCCAGTAAGTACCTACTCGTAATATGCGGCTTGCAACTGCACTCATTATTACTTACATAAAGAGCACAGGGCACTAGTTTTGTTGCGAATTCTGAGATAGTGTCAATTAATGTCAATATCTCTACTGCAAGTGCCATTATAACCCGACCCGTCTTTAACGGTGTGCGTTTATTATGAAATAATATATTGCTTTAGTTTCATTTGATGCATAATAGAAATAGATACGATTTCGTATAGTCCAATTTAAAAACTAATCTAGTTCAATAATGATCATCAAATCTAAGCAATATTTCTGACGCACTCTTGGATCTGTGAGCATATTTGCGGTTTCTCGCTAGTATTCTAATGATTAACACTATCCTTCACTGTAATCACGAATCAACTCAATCGCACGCCAATTAGTTCCTTGTTCTCGTCTACCACCACCCGCTGTTCCATCCTTTGCCGCCGCCGTAGCCACCGCCGTAGCCGCCACCGTAGCCGCCCCCGTAGCCGCCTCCGTAGCCGCCGCCGTAGCCGCCTCCATAGCCGCCCCCGTAGCCGCCCCCGTAGCCGCCCCCGTAGCCGCCTCCGTGGCCGCCGGACCAGCCACTGCTGTAAGATGGTACGGTGTACACCACGCGGCGGTACACCGGCGAGGACCAGCCGCCGTGGAAGCCGCCAGCTGACGCCAAGCTCACCAAAAGCACCAAGGCGAGGGCGGTGAGCTGAAACAATTGAAGGATTTATACACAAAGAACTAAACTCTCAAATGTACTTACATTGTTGCAAGTCAGTGACAGGATAGCTGATGAATTTCTTTACTTAGATTCCTCTATTATTCTAATTAGTGCTTGAGTCGGATAACTTTAATACAATAGTGCTCTATGGGAAACTTTGACAGTTAGATACTCCAGAACATTTATCGTAAAGATGATTAGATTCCGATGATTGATAAAAAAGCGCGTAGCAGACACATTAAAAAATGATTACACCTTATTGACTACTTCGTCCATTGTTATGAGAGATTAAATATCATGCGTGACACTTCAGACCAATGCTATTTCGTTAATCCTTAAATAATTGATTGATTAATATATTATATTTGTGGTGTTTATTACCAAACTGGAAACAAATTACATTGAATGACTCAGAAATTATTTAGGAAGGCGAATAAAAACAATCTGATTTTGCAACTCACAATGAACTTCATGTTGATGTCAGGGTTCGCGATTCAGTATGTTCCGCCTAATGCGTCCTGCGCTTATATACCTGCACCTTGATGACGGTGCCTAATGTATGCAGTCATCAAAACTTTAGTACTGCCCATACTGCATAATTTTGGTATGATGCGCAGGAGGCTGGGCTGCGCGCATCTAATTATATGTAACTCTATCTGTTTGACAGTTACGAGTAGTAAGGTTTTCACGCCTAAACCGACCTGTCTCGATGAACTTTGTACAAATAGAATAGGAAAAGGACAAAGCTATGATTCAAAATAAATATAAAATCCCATACTTTCATACTTTTTAATTAATTTAATATGTTTTCAGAAGCTCGTTGGCTATCGCATTTGCAATAACGGTATATTATCACATATTCAATTAAATTACATAGATTGTATATTTGCGTAATCGGAACCACAGAACAGATTTTTATGGAAATTGGTTTGTATTTTTATATTATTATGTGAAACCTTGAAGAAAAGAATAGGATTTTCCCAGACGAAGTTGCGTGCCCCATCTAGTAAGTTTTACGTTTAACGATTAAGACTATTATTGCTTATTATAGGTTTGTTATTAGGTATCGTAATTACTTAATGTATTACAATGTTAGCGTTTAATATTGCCGAGCTTTGTTTTCTGTACGGATTAATTCAGCGCCGCCTTAGTTGTGATCACGTAGAATTACTTCATCAAACACGTCGTACCTATGCTAAAATGAAAGACGTGCAGACTATGAATTGCCTAGTATAACCTTCTAGGTGAAAAATAATCTAGTTCCTAGATCTAGGATGAGTAAGTTCCAAATATTCTCACTCATAAATAAACATGCAAACCATATTCGTATTCGTAGAGAAGATTAATATCTTCCTAGATGCAGCTATTATAGTTCATTAACATTTTTTATTCGACTTCTACTCCCAGTTCTATCTTCCGCTAGACCTTAAAACCTAATGCTTATTTTGTAGGTATTTTCAACATCTAATTATTTTAATAAAAAAGGTAACTTATTGAATCATAATAAGCACCTTTCAATGCATCCGCGTAGCGCTTTATTGTCTTGCATTATGTTAGTATCTGTGGCATTGGACTCTATGAATTTAGCTGGGTATTTCTCATCGCCACGGTTCTCATCGTCACCTTCGTGGCGAATTTTATTTCTAACTTATATCAACTTTTTGTAAACAAAAATTGTAGCGCTTGATGTGAAGATTGTATTCTCAGTAAATCAGTCAAATAGTGAGTCTCGTTTGGAAGCTTTAACGTTTTGAATTTTTTGATGCCACGAAAGTGATTCTGTACTTCACAGCAATAATTTTTTCAAACTTTACTACTGTAAATGACTCTTAAGTGTTTATAAAACATATATTTTGTCTTATTTTCATAGATAAATAGCAATAACATAATATAAATAGGTACCTACTTAAATACAAGATAAAATTTTACCGATTACGTCACCTACTAACAGTCAGTTACAAGATTCTACGCAATTGGTTTTAAGAGTGACACTGGTGGCATTCTGAAATGCTAAAGAAGCAAAAAACGGATTATCAGTGCCTCAATAAAAAAGAACTCTAACTGATTATCAGTCCCTCAACAAAAATATATTTTTTATTTAGGCCAGAGGGCCTCGTATTTTTGTTGTACAACTTTTATCTCAAACTTCTGACTAAATTTATTTATTTATTTAAACTTTAGCACACATGGAAACGATGCACTGTGGCGGACTTAATGCCGGATGGCATTCTCTGCCAGTCAACCACGGGTCATGCAGAAAGAGTAAGGCGGTGCAAAAAAATTACATTTAGAATAATATACCTACTTACATAAGATTACATATAATAAATGACATAACACCACGAAGGTGATGCCACGAAGGTGACGAAAATTTTAGTTTTTTATGAATTATCCTTAAATTTGAATTTAACGGTTCAAGTTGAATACTACACAAATAAGTCTAACATGTTAAGTTTTCAATGGCAAAGTTTCAATTAAATTGTTTAAATTTTAGAGGTAGAAAATATTGTTCAAGCAAGCGACGGTATATCTATGGATAATCACAAAAAGTTACGTATTTTTTTCGAGAAGCGACGATCGACCTATCTCACCTCCCCAATGGTCGAAGCGCGACTGACGTTAACCGAATAGAATGCTGTGATTGGTTGCTGGTGTTCGGTTTAACGGCAATCTTGTATTATTACTCAAAATTTTAGGTACCTAAAATCGTGTGACCAACGTATTCAGCTTTCTCAATTCAAAATAATTATAAGAAGATATTTTTTTGACTATTGTGTGGAAATTATATTTAATTACGATGATTTTAGTATATGCTACACACAAATTGAATGAAAATTGTGAATGCAGTAACCAAATGTTTCATTGCAACCGAAGGTGTGACACGATGAGAACGCGAAAAATGACCCCGTTTTTTATCGTTTCATGTGATTTTTTCGTATTATTTTTGCTTCTATTACGATAAAATTTATATTGTATGTAGCTAAATAGATATTTTATCATCTGATATCAAAGTTATTGTTCTAACTTATACCGTTTATGAACTATTATTGTGTGACCATCAAATTTGAGTGTAAATGAGAAGTACCCAGCTACTTCGATATTTTCGACGAATCGAGATGATGACTTTGTTTGATTGATCCTAGTTTGATTAGATTATTGCAGCCTACAAAAGCTTCAGAGGCCATGTTTAAGTTTCGATTTGGTGACCCATAAAGCTGGCACTACGATTTTATTCGATTCCATTTATAAGCTTTAACTGGTACGAGTAAAATGGAATCTTTAAAAAAAATCCATATTGATAAAGTTTAAGTGACCTTTTCTTATATGATAAAAAGACGACTGGAATTTCATTTTTACACCTCATTACAAGCTTATTAATTTCCTCTACTTAGCGGTCTGCACGATTCATAAATCACCGCACTTTGTCACAAAGGTGACAGCGTGGCCCGGGCGGTTGCCTCGTGAGTTTTAATTGCACCTTCGTCTGCCCTCGGGCAGAACAACATTGTAATGTCTTGGTGTGATTATTTTAAGCACAACTAAATTATTTTTGTTGCAATATAGCATCTATAACAACTACAAAAGATCTCACAAGGTAGAGCTTGCTATCGCCTGTATATGGTTTTTCATTAATCAAGTCCTATATGCGTGTGGTGTAAAAATCTTGTGTGGTCCCTTTTGGGCGTCCCTATGATTATTTTACAAAACTTTTCATATTAAAGAAGGCTCTAGAATAAATATCCGTAGGTTATTAAAGGGATCCTAAGAATCATGATTGTATTGTATAACTTTGGTTTGAGATGAATGAAACGTAACTGCTCTCATTTATTTTGTAACGTTCCATGCTGTTTCACACCTGCGTGTTATACCTAAGTTACTTGTTGAGTATTACTTTATCTTCTTCGGAAAATTAAATGTAGATTTATAAACGAAGCTATTTCGTCTATTCGGTATGCATTTTATTAGCTGTAAATAAGGATATCCGTAGTTTATTAAAATTTATGGCCGCGTGGGCGAAACCGCATGCAAAACTGATGCATTATATTTTCATCTTATTTAAATTATGAATATAAAACTAATTGTTATATACATAAGTTTAGACAATCCGATTAATTATACAAATTAAATACAACCTCTACCTAACAAAGTGGCTCACTTTAAAAATAGACAAATGAATATCATCATTCGAGCTAATTAATTTCTTAATGCATTTTTTAAGAATACTAATTAAATAAATAAGTTGTTCTGCACCCGCAATAGACCTTGGGCGTTTGATGATTTATGCTTAAATATTGATGAACGTAGCCTGGATTGATTTAAGAATTAAACCGGGATAGCTGCCGATTCGATGCCCGCCGGGAGCAAATGCTAATAGTGTGTAGTTATGTGTAGTTACTATCCTAGTAATATGTTCTTGAAGAAAGTTCACTTTTATCTAGACGTCAAACTCTAATTTGTTTGAGGAGAAGTTATTGTTTTTTAATACTCATATAAATAAAATATTTCGAAATTGGCATAAGATTTCTGGAATACATACAATAGAACGATTCTTAAAACCTTAGCTTAAAATTCTAGTCGTAAATTCACAGTACTGACGCAATAGAGGTCTACCACGCAGAGTAGAGCTTCTGAGTGAACTTCTTGAGCTTGGTACTAAATTCTAACATACCTACTTATATTTTTTGTACACATGAGCTGTGTAATCGTGATATTGAATGACGTGGTAATTTAATGATCTAGCACAAAGTGCACTTCTTTGACCAAATGCATTATGATTTAGAGAGGAATAAATTATTATTTTTTTCTGATATCTTTAGCACTAATTATCATCAAGCATTAATCCTCTTCGCAATTTCAAGGTGACGGTAAAATATGATTTAGTGAGAACTGGCCACTCTTACAGATGACACAAGTTTGGCCTTAGTGTGACTTCGTAAATAGCATTAAAGATGCCAGAAACAAGGTCTTGCTCAAGCGATGCTCTGGTTAATCGGCTTTATTGCGGTTTTATTCATCACACATTTATAACGAGGATATTATCGATACTCGTATGTTACGGATCATCCAATAAGGCTAACGATTTTCAAAAGTAAAGAAATCCCTGCTTTGATTTCTTGGGTGAAAGTTAATATTTCCACGCAGTTTTCTTATACACTGAAGACGAATCTTGCTCAAAAAATCTCGTAAGAGCACATACATCTATATATATAAAAATGAAACCCGTTTCGCGTTGTCACGGCATCACGTGTGAACGGCTGAACCGATTTCGATAATTCTTTTTTTTTAATGTTTGTGGAAGTCCAAGGATGGTTCTTACGGAAAAAAATATTAAGAAAATCTCTACGCTAAGGCGGTACGAAGTTCGCCGGGTCAGCTAGTTTTATATAAAATCAAGACCGCAACTACAAGCAGCCGAAACCAATTATTAAATCTGGTAATTTTAATCGCTACCGTAACTGCGTCGTTAAGTTTAAGAGCCGCTGTAAAGTCAGGGAATCAACAATGAAACATTTTGTAATTTAAATTAATTTATTTAACTTAATTATTCACCATCCTGAGGCATAACGAGACGCGGAGTACGATAATGGGACAGGTTTGACCACTGCGGCGGTCAACAATGGAGCGGAGTGGAGCACAGGAGCCGGCGCGTAGCTCTTCAAAACTGGAGCGGAATGCGCGTACGAACTGACGAGGGGAGCGTGGTGCGCGTGAGAGCTCAGCAGTGGAGCATGATGAAGACTGTGGGCGCTCAATACTGGGGCATGATGAAGGCTGTGAGAGCTCAACAATGGAGCAGAATGAAGACTGTGAGAGCTCAATAGTGGAGCAGAATGAAGGCTGTGAGAGCTCAATAGCGGAGCAGAATGAAGGCTGTGAGAGCTCAATAGCGGAGCAGAATGAAGACTGTGAGAGCTCAGTACTGGAGCGGAATGCAAAGATGAGTGGCTCAGAAGTGGTGCTGAGTGAAGCGAGGCATGGCTCAAGAGGGGTGCGTGATCATGGTGTAGGGACGCGTGGCTCAACAGAGGCGCAAGATCGTGGTGGAGCGAGGCGTGACTCAATAGTGGCTCGTGGTGCAGAGACGCGTGCTCATAAGGCGAGGAGTGCAGAGACGCGTGACTGTACAGTGGAGCCGAGTGAATTGGCGCAGCAGTCAGTACTGGAGCGTGGTGAAGCGACGGGCTCAGCAGCGGAGCGGAGTGAAGCGAAGCTGAGCTAAGGAGTGGAGCAGAGTGTAGTGGTGCGTGGAGAGCTGGCGCGGAGAGCAGACCGCCCGGCTCGCCGTAGATGCCGCGCTTGTCGCGGGCCGCCGCCACGGCTATCAATGCCAGAAGTGTACAAATCTGAAACGAAATAGTTATTGAATGTTAATAATGTATGTTTTATAGTATTTTAGTAAAGCAACAAACAAGTAATATGACTCATAAGAAAATATTGGCAGAACAACGGAATGTCCCCATAATTTTAAATACCATAATATTTTATGGACACTAATTGAATGATTTCCTCATTCAAGAAAGGGTAGACTGAAGCTATAAATATTTATTAATATGAATTACTTGAATGCTTCGTCACATCCGAGTTCAATTCCGATCTTATTAGTGAAACCATTTCTCATAACCATAAAGTTGTCGCATATACGCAATTCGGCTTTGAACTTATGAATGCGAATGTCCAATAAGCTAGTCTAATATGTGTACACGCGGTGTTTGGAGACGGTGAGGCCAACTTTACTCGGCCGCACACTAAAGTAACCAAAATATGTAATATCGATGACTTGCTAATGTTGTTTACGTCTTGCGAGCAGCAAACAAATGTTGAATAAACTTTATTTGCATACAAGCGGTTGAGTCAAATCGGTAAATTGTGTGTTTACCAAATCAACTAAACAGGTATTGGACCAGGATCTTAATGATTTAATCGCGCCTACTTTTTTTACATCTATTATCCTCATCAAGTGGTAATTTCCCCAGGATTAAAATATTTCATTGCCACATTTTAAAGTCACTTATCGATCATCACTTTAAAGCAGGTTTACCATTATATTTGTGTGCTCATTATTTTTACGTTTCCTTGCTAACTTGCAACTTGTAATTTAATTGGAAAACTATTCGAATGTTTTCTAGTAACATATCAATTTAACTCTACTTTTTATATTATCCTTAATTGACTGATTTATTAAAAAAGCAAAAACAAAGGGCACTTACAAAAAGTTTCATTTTATCGTGTTGCTCAGCCTGTGTCTATTTCGATATATCGTCGGCATATTTTGGAATCGCTTATATAGTCAAAATGTAATAAATTCCACCATTTCGTAAGGGTCACCCCGGCTTCTAAGATGGATACGGTAATTTAAGTACGATGTTATAAATATTGTGATGAAATTTTAATGAAATATTGGCCCAATGTCAAGAGATTTATTATTGATTGGCTCGTTTGATGAAATTGGATTACTTTAAATGGTACGAGATACTTTAATTACTGGTATAGGTTAAGGATTGAATAAGTTTGAATGAAGTTAAAACAAAGAACAGAGAAATCTATAAATAAACCGCTGATATCAAATTAGATACTTATCAAGAAACTATAAAAAAAATCGTTTTATGTCCAGAATTTGGTTCCCAATTTGCTTTAAATTCTTCAGTCATACAACAGATTGTCTTGTAAAGTTGTGTCGGCAAACTCTTAGGCAGGTAACTTACACGTCAATCCTGTGTCAGGCACTCACGAGTCTCACGACTTAATCAATTTATTATAATTATAATTGTAAATAACGTTATAACTTAAACATAATAACTGCAACAAGTGCTAATGAGTTCGGGGTATGAGTTGAGGATATCCTCGAAACTGTCTCCAATCTCAAATTTATTTAGCTACTCATTAACTAAAATCTACCTACTTGAGTATAGATTTGTATTAAGCATTCAGTGCTATTTCAGCTGAAGTAAATAATTAAGGAAAAATTTAAATATATTCAGAGTTAAATGGTATTCCGAAGTTACGTGACGTGTAAAAGTGCTTTTTAAAAGCCTATTGCAAAACTATATGAGTTTTATGAGTTTTTTGGTTAACTGACTTTCGAAATAGTAACTAGAAGAATCATTCGTTGTAAAGCAAACATTTTCTTAAAGAGATGGTTTCGTTTGCGAATGTTGTTATCAACATCGCACTGGCATAATCAGCTTATTAAGATTACGGCTAAGTGAATCTGGTGCACTTTGAAGTAACCGGTGCAAAGGTTCTTTGCGAAGGCCGCCGTGGGCAGGAGACAGGCCGCCAAATGTCAATAGGACCTTACACTCCTGACCTATGGTAGGTTTCCTTAGGTATTTCAAACATTCCTACTGTTTTATTTGCTTGATCTTCCAGTCTTTTTATGTCGGTTTTTTGCATCATGTGCAATAAAATGTTTTCCTCTTACGAAATCTATGAGCACTAGCAAAAATTGATACTTTTTAGTCCTTGCGCTAGTCATCACGGAAACGATATGTAAAGCTACTCTTCTAAACTTTTTATAGCTGTTGCTACCGTTATTAAATGTAAGTAATTTATGTTTAGGTCTGAAACACACACGTGCGCATGATTACCACGGTTGTTTGCGTAACCCTCGCCACTGTACTAAAACTGTCGGCTCTTAATATGCTACTAGAGACATGTCTTGTCTTGGGGGTATACTTCGAAACCTCATTAAAGTAACTCTATCTGGCTCCCTCTTTCATAAAACGGGTGAGGGAATCACTAGAGTCAATATTACCGAAATCGTATTACAAAGTAACTTGAATGAGACCCGTATTGTACATTATGTGTGAGAAAAGGCAGGTGTTTGTTTGCTCTTTACCGAAATTGACACAGTTTAAGAAAAAAGAAACAAATATTCTGCTTATCGCTTAGGAATTGTGTGTACCTACCTAAGTGACCTCTTGAATTAGATTCGGAAAACCTACAAATAAATGTTTTGATTAACTTGTTGTCAGGTCAAGTTGACCTTTTATCCTGCATACATCTTAATAAGGACACAACGCCAAAACACACGATGCTGCAATATTGTAATATATCACTTACATTTACCACAGAGTCCTATTAATTCATGGTGTTACACATGTACACTTTTGTCCAAAAAAAAATAGACCCGTTGGACCAGTTAAGTGTGTTAGTACAGTGTCGCAAAACCACATGCGCGGGCGCCACGCCCTGTGCAATATTTCCTTATGTGTCCAGCTGCATGCTACATATTGTACCACCATTAAGAATTGCGCTTGCACAATACGCACACCAGTAAACATAACCGTTTAAAACTTGCTCTGGCGATAGAACCAAGGCTTTGTAGATGTTGCTCATAATTCAAGGTTTCCTCAAATTAGACTAGTGCGTGATTGGTCGTATTTTTCTCCAAATTTGACAGAAGATGAGAGGAACACAAAAAAAACATCCGTATTCCATAGGTCTGTTGAAAATCATTCTAATAAATTTCTCATGATAGATTTTAAGTAAAATATTTAAAAAAAACATTTATTTAATTGGCAACGTTGTCTTTGGTCTAATAAAAGAAAATATTGAAAGAATTGAGATTTATGGCGGATAATGCTCGTATTGCACTGAATCGACAAATTGTACGCCATTATAAAGTTGCCACGCCAAAATTGGAATCAGGGGAAATATAAACATCGAATTACTTAAGCTCAAAGTGGTGAACGAGTAAAGCATAGAATAAAACGTATAATAATAAACCTTACCATCATTACAATTTACTTACCATCTTATTTCCGTCTTATCTTATCAGCGATCTAAATTCAAACAAACCTCTATTCACAAATTTGAAAAAGTAATGTAACATTAATATTGGAGTTATCATCTCACTCCAATAAGATACATTGTCAATATACTTACCCTTTCTTTAAGTAATTGGTAGGACGGTAAAATCTTTATTATGATCAAAGAGAGGTATCATTATCACGGCGTGGAATAAGATTAAGCCCAAAGTCCAGCTGCGGAATTGGTCGAAGATGAATAAAGCGTATCTAGTCTACCATACGTTGCGTACACGTCCAAGGTTTCTATTGACGATGATTATTGGTAGTTTTGCTTCTACACATTTCATTCACCTTCGACAGGCATGTGCGCTACGTCCATCGCATGTAACTCGATTAAATCTGCCCGCGCGCAGATCGGCGGCAGGTTAGCATACAAGGCAACAGAGCTTGTCAATTGCGAAGCGCGACATGGATCCGTTACTATGTCAACAAACAAGCGTGTGTGTGGTCGTGAAGCAAAAAAAAACTTATGAAGTGGTTTAATTAATTTCAAGTTATGTTATTTTCTTTAACTTTCCCATTTATTTTCCTAAACAAAATCAATCCACTTTTGATTGAGTTTTCAGGAAGCTTCCTACTCTGTATGGTATATAATACTCAATTACAATGATAGCATTAAATTGCATCGATAAATGTTACAATAAATGGTGAAGATTGTTGATTGATTGTTATTTCTAAATTATATTTCTATACTTATGTTTACCTCCAGGAAGCATCGTTATAACGATCCAGTTTTTAATGTATTTATCTCTTGGTGTATATGTAGATACAGAAGTACCTACTATAAAATCAAATCAAATAATTTATTGTGCATTTTGGGTACATTATACATTTGCAGTAGTTACCTATTGCAATAATAAAGTTAGATCGCCAAATCCATTACTATTACTTACTTAGTATATTACATATTCTGCAGGCAGTAAGGATTCAAATACTAAACTTACCAATCGATGAATCCGACGAAAAATCAACGGTGTGCGCCTACTCTTAACGTTTTTCGCTAATTATCCAGGGTAGATAGTCATGGGTTTTTACGAAGCGTTGCGACTTGCGATTCAGCCGGTGATAGTTTCGACATAATTTCGACATTTCCACCAGATGGCGTTGCGACACGCAGGCTTCCGGGCCCGGAGCGGCTTCCGGTTGCGACAGCCTCCTAATACGTGTCCTGATCAATGCCATAATAGAGACAAGTTTAGTAACTCCCATAGGAATTTGGAGACACTTTTTGTAGGTTACTTACATTACTCTAGATGTCACAATAATGTTAAAAAAAAGCGTTATTTTCTACCTCATTTACGAGTAGGTATGTATTGTAAAAATTCAACTGAACGGTGATATAATTGTCAGTAGATGATTAGGCGTTAGGATCTAAACAAAACAATCAATTTTTCGTAGCTGTTGTTTATGATTTTTTATTAATTTATGAAGTATACTAAAAATACATTAAGCTCTTCAGAAAAAGTCTATATTGACTAGACTAGGTATACCCGTGTACTCGTTTTCGTTTAATGTAAAAACTTTTTTTCTCTCTCTTCGCCAGTTGGCCTAAGCGTTTCGTAGTAATGCTACGAAAGTGTGCCTAAGTAATAATGATAACTGCTGCCTTATGGTTACACTGTAGGTATAGGAGTTAAATACTACTGTTACATGTAATTATCGAGTTAAGTACGATTAGCGTCGAAGTAAGGACTGGGCGAGGCCCTCTTGCGTTAGAATGTTTAAGTATGGTGAATAAGCATTTTCTTGCATTTTTTCTCTTAATTATGTATGCTCTTTCTAATGAGATTTAGCTCATTATGTTCTAGGACCTCTAACTTTGAATAAAATGAGTGATTGCGCAAAAGCTTTGTCCCTCAATTCTATTTTTGTCTGACATATTAATAAAGTTTACTAACACTAAATTGTTCAGTTTTCTCATTCTTTTCTGATAGCTGTCGTGGTTCAGAAGCTGGGTGATGTTCGGTGCCTGACTTTCCAGAAGCTAACAGTTACCTACTTCAATAATAAACGTATTTTGAGTATTTCTATGTTGCCACTTAACAGGATAGGTAAAAAGAAACGACACATAACTTTTATCAGTATAATTAAAAATATTACACACCAAGCGCTCTAAGCTTACTAATTTGGCACTAACATCCAATTGTCATGTTAACCCTCAATGCCAGCCATGCCCCAAGCCCAGCAGTGGTGCTCCGTAGTGCACGGGGGCGCTGTAGGCCACGCTGTGGCTGAGTAGGGGCGCGGAGGCGATTCCGTGGCCGTAGTAGCCATGGCCGAGGCCAAGACCGTGTCCGTAGCCGAGGCCGAGGCTGTGTCCGTAGCCGAGGCCGTGTCCGTAGCCCAGGCCCACGCCGTGGTTGTAGAGGCCCAGGCCGTGGCCGCCGTAGACGCCGGCGCTGACCAGCGGCGCGCTGTGGCCCAGCCCGTAGCCCAGCCCGAGGACGCCGCGTTTCTCGTTCTTCTTCTCTTCTGCGCCGTAGACGACGGCCGTGGCCAGCAGGAGAACACACAGCTGGAAAAAAGATACCTGATATTAGTTCATAAGCTGAATATTACCCATGGATGTTTATGTTACCAACTTGAATCGTAACCCTAGAGCGATATTGCTGGGTAAGTAGGCTGAGGTAGAATTTAGCCGGTAACTACTGGCACTTCTTAAGTTTAGAATTCGTCTATTTGGTTACTGATATTCTACGCTATTTTCAAAATTATTCCAAATCTCCATCAGAAAGTAGAGCAGTCAGAAACTAATTAAAATTATGTTTATCATAAAATTAAACTTGAAATTGAATCTTGTTATCTATTGTTGCAGGTACGTCCTACGTTGGTTGCGAAACCGTCAATTTGCACCACGCCTGTTAGCGCCTGGGCGTGGGAAACGAACGTGAGTGAGCACTACCGAGCTGTATAGTCAAACTGGTCAGCCATTATAAGTGTCATTCATGATTGATTCGTTCGTAAAATTATGTGAACTCACATCAATAGGTATTTTAGTAACTTGCAGTAAGATCAAGTGCGAACTACAGATTCTGTAATTCATAAGTACCTACCATAATTTTGCACTTTACCTATTTTGACAAGTAGGTATTCTACGTCAAGGGCTATGAATATTAAGTGTGATGTTAGACTTCACATCGGAAAGCTCATTAGGTTAACAATCCCTATTGTTTTGTTGAAAAAAATGATGTGTCCAATAAAACTGTTCCCGCAGTCATGCATATCCTTAATTACCTCTAGTTTATAAAGCTAGTTAAGCGCTTGAAAATTGAAAAAAAAAAACTATATCCACGCCAATGTTTTAAAAGGGAAAGATATCAAATTTTTGGTATGTTTGTTTTGAATGGGCTCCGAAATTACTGGACTTTGAAAGATTCTTTCACCATTACAATCTTTCATTATCGTTGATGAACAAAGGCTTTATAATATTTTAATTAAAAGGGCGTTCAGTCAGCAAGTTAATTTATAATTCTAGTGTTCCAACTTTATGATAATTCCATTATATTTACTACATCGGAAATCTGTAAAACACTGAACAAGATAAAGCTCATTGTTCATTGAGACGGGATCTTCGTGAGGAGGCGCGGCAGCCGTTATGATTCTAAACACTTGATAACACGTTACTAGGAATATGCAAACTTTGAATACGTTATCAGCTAATAGTTTAAATGTGCACACATTATTAAGTTGTAGAAGGAAATAACTAAGGAACAGCGACATTATTTTATGTGGTTGAGACCGCAAATACCTATTGTGGAAGAGATAACTCTCATAAGATAGGTAGTTTGATATTCAATACACTGTTGGTGTATAATATCTTTTGGTTATTTTAACTCTTCCGACGTCTTTTCTTCCCTTGAGCCACAGTTTTTAATTACAGTTCAGTATCTTTTTTGATTTGCCACTGATAAGATTCAGGGTCACGTTTTTAAGTGATTACTATTCAATGTTTATTAAATCATTTAATAAGTTTTTCATTAACTTTTAAAACTACGTGACATTAAATGAACAGTTTTTATTAAACGATCTAATAGGCATTGTTTGTAGAATACTCTTATGTGACTGTAGATAGGGAAATGTGTTTTAAAACATACACTTTTATGAGACACTTAGCAATTATTTCACGAAGCTGTAGTTATGAACTTACCAATTTCATTAATAAAAAGGATAAGATAATGTATATATTAGGGTGATTACTAATAAATAATATTATAATGCTCTATATTATATTTTGGGGTTACTTTACATAAAACTGATCTAGAAATAGGTAATTTTCGAAAGGTAAATAAATGCTATACTTACAGCAGCCTTCATATTGTCGGTGTGTGGAGGGTTAGCAGCAGACTATGCTCGGAAGGGCTCGGCGCGGCTTATATGCGGCCGCCCTAGGCCCCCCTAGACTGCCTACATCCTAGACCTAGGATAGGTACAGCCTGCCGCAATATTTGTGGATTTGAAAAACCTGATGTTGCCAGGTTTTAAATTTCCATTTCAAGATTATTTAAAGATTAATCCACCTAGGTAATAAATTCCACAAAAAATAATATTTTACAGCTACGTGAAATAGATTTTTTTCTTGAATTCATCTAGGAATACTAAAATAGCACCAAGATTTGGCTGAAATCAGACTCAGAATAAACTTAAAACTTACACTTTTTTTAGGTAAGCCATTGATTAACATTGTCTTCTTTAACACACTAATTTGTTAAAAAAATGTCTCATTGGATCGTCTCAAGAAATCGTTCGTTATTGGTATTGCAGATTTGGATTTCAATATTTTCAGGATTATGTTAGGTAGTTTTAGCAACTCCAAGAGAATTTAAGGTCTTTTGATGACTTTAACTACTTTTCATAAAGCAATTATAACGGGCATGTCATTAACCCGACTGTACCTTGAGGATATGGCTCGCTCTTGCTCTGTGTAGAGTCGACGCGAATCACGAATGCTCAGATTACTATTGTTTCCATTGATTAACGATCATTGATCACACTGCTTAGGAAACTTGATCTGAGTGTTACATTAGTGCACGTGCATACATAAACATATTTCATAATGCCTATACCTTATATCAGAATTTAGAATTTAGTTTAGCGATCTATTTGATCGCTTTCAGTGGGCAAGTGGGCAACGATTCCATATAAATACTAGTTACAAATCTTTTATTCAGTACCAAGGCCCTTTCCAGGGCACTTATACACGTCCCAAATGATTCTAGACACCTAGTACATCTAATCATCCAGATGTTTATTGTTAGAGTGATTTCGGTACCAGGGCCGGATCGTGAATTTGTGGGGCCCTGGGCTCAAACTTCTTATGACGTTGTCACGTAAAAATATCGTCCGTAAACCGACTTTACAGACATCTTTTTTTTTTTTTTTTTTTCAAATTATGGCCTACTTTTTAGCGGGATCTGGGGCTGCAGCCCAATCAGCCCATAGGTAGATCCGGCCCTGTTCGGTACCCAACACTTGCTTCAACGTGCTTTAACTTTATCGTGCTCCCGAGTACGTTATGGCCTCATACTGAGCAGAGACCAATTTGGTACAATTTTATAATTTTTGCTTTATATTGTCAATGTGTATCCTTCTAGGTATTTTTAGTACCAAATAAATATTTTTTCTTTCTTTCTTGCTTTCTTTCTTTCTTTCTTTCTTTCTTTTTTTCTTTCTTTCTTTCTTTCTTTCTTTCAATATAAGAAGGTAACTTCTCTTTGCATCAATGTCGGTGGCTCGTAAAGTCTGACACCCAAATTGACCGATTAACCAACCGGATTTGTTTTTAAAACCCACATGATCGAAGAAGTTAAAAGATAACCAAATGTAAGGAATAACAAAATAACTTTAAATAAATAATTGCCCAAAACTAGTTACTACTACTCCTAAGTGAACTATCTGAATCTTATGTTAATGTAAAAAAAAGCTTACACTAAGGTTTACACTAATGATAATCTACATTGTCACCATCCCTTAGCCTCAATTTTACGTTCACAGCTGATCACAGACTACCTTTCAGCTAGAACGTTCTGTAGCAACTCATGTCCAATAAATTTAATAATGTTACAATCGCCTTTTTTCTTTGTCGGTATTTTTCCAATAAAGCATTACAAACTATGAACTGGTTTAAATGGTCTACTTCTTAGCGTAACAGTAATTGGTTTTACGAGCAACTACGTACGTACGTACGTACAACTACTACGCATACGTATTTGTTATCAAATTCAAAGTAATTGCAAAATATTTTGTCCTTACACAAACTGGTATGGATGAAATTAATTTAAAATAATAGAAATTACTTTTGTTTAACAACCAGTTCTAATCTAATTACATAATACGCATAGTAGTTGAAACCGGAAGGTGTAAATTGGCAATATTTCATATGTAACGCAAAATTTCCATCGGCGCAGGCGCAAGCGCGGCCGCAACGCTTCTCAGCTTACTCCGCACGTGGGAAACGCGATCAAATATTAAATAATGTGCTCTACATTACACAATAACTTAGTACTGGCCCTATTTCCTTACAGGATGTTAAAGGCCCGATTTGACCTTACTTTTATCCGAGAATAACTCCTGGTATAACTGCCACATTGACAGTTTCAGTATGGAAAATATGTCAAAACTGACGATTTATTCTGAGATTTGTATTTACTCTTATTTGGTCGAATCCACCCTAAATCAATACCTGAACTATACTCAGGAATCTATATAGAAATGTGTAAGAGAAGTGAGCTAAGTTAAAAGGAAAATATTTAAAAGAATGATAGCTTGCTAGCTAGCTACTTTAGTTACACAATTAAGTACGTAATCCTGTCATAGAGTCACCGAATCGATTCATTGCTTCAGGCTAAGATAGTGTTTTTAAAAAGCCTCCAACTAAACTAAATGCTAAATAAAACTAAATGTTAACGGGAGTGGGTGCACCACAATAGTTCAGCAGACAATACACAAATCACAACACCTTGGCTTTTTTTTATAATTATTAATAAACAAACGATTGTATGATATCATTATTAATGTATTGTTTACTATGGAAAATAATAAAACCACATAATATTGTCTTGTTATGGCTTAGGATTTTCAAGTCGTTATAAAGAAAATAAACAACATTAATGTTGTGGTCTTAAAATAATATAATATTAATAGTTACCTAAAGGGTAAAGTGCATAATTGTTGTGAATGCCTGGACATGAAGAGAATGGCATATAAGGTGCATGTTGATGGATAAGTAGGTACTACTCCAATACCTATTCTAGAAATTTCATTGAATTTTCAAAGAAAGTCCGGAAAAATTCGTAATGAAGGTAACCCTGTTCGTATTTACTTAGTTGTTGTGGCGAGCCCAAGCCTTATCTTGGTTTCTTATAGAAAATTGATAGTAATTATTCGGCCAAAGACCGACACATTAATCATCAGTATTGGACCAGCGATTATGTTTTTGTCCAACATGTGGATATGTGCATTTACTTACATTTACCTAGATTAGTAATTGTACGCAAAAACTAGTAATGTCTATGTTTTGACAAACTCAATTACGCCTATCACAGGCCCCGACCACATGGGCATTGGTCTCCTTACGATAAGTCGACATCGCGAAATTCAGTTTTATTGAGACGTTTTACAAACATTGAATGTAACGTAGACCATGAAAAAAAGGCAATGCGGAAAAACTTCAAAGTTATTGATGAAAAACAACAATAATAAGAATGGAAAAATTCACCTAAGTTCCAAATTATGTAGTACTACGAGTAGTAGCGACCGCCCGCGACTTCGTACGCGTGGATCCCGTTTTACCCCCTTCATCTATCTTACGCGGTTTAGATTTTTTCTTACAAATGTTTTTCCCGCTAACTCCCGTTCCCGTGGGAATTTTGCAATATCCTGTTGTAACTAAGCTTTAAGTTTACTAAGGTACCTGCATGCCAAATTTCAAGCGTCTAACTAAAGCGGTTTAGATTTTTCATACAAAAAGATTTTCCCGTTAATTCCCGTTCCCGTGGGAATTCCTATGTATACTATAACCTGCCCAGGAGTATGAAAAATAATTGTACCAAGTTTCGTTAAAATCCGTCGAGTAGTTTTTGTTTCTATAAGGAACATATACAGACGGACAGACAGACAGACAGACAAAAATTTTACTGATTGCATTTTTGGCATTAGTATCGATTACTAATCACCCCATGATAGTTATTTTGAAGATATATTTCATGTACAGAATTGACCTCTCTACAGATTTATTATAAGTACCTATAGATATTATGTATAATATTTACTTTAATTATAGAGTTTAGGTGTAGTGTGGGAGTGGGAACGGCATTTCGCGTTACACGACACACGTGTGGCCCACATCTAGATTCTAGATCAATTCCATATAGAGGTGGGCGCCGATATAGAATTAGCCGGCGGCGGCGCGCCGACTTTTTTACTTCGGCGGCGGCGGCGTCGGCGGCGTGACCTTGACCTTTGACCTTGATTCATTATTTCTTTTAAAAAAATCTATTTGTTTAGAGTCTGTCGTCAAGACTATAATAAGGTGATTTGAAATTGGTTGGGGTTTAACGAGGTAGAGACACTGCTCGGTCTCCTAATAAATTAGCATAATATCAGCTCTCTTGATCATCTTATCTTATCTTGTTCAGGGCCCGCGCATGAGTGCAGTGCACGTCGACCCATTGGGATCTTACCTTCTATACCTTTATTCCCCCTCTCATCCGAAAAAATCTTATCCATAAAGCGAATCAAGTGCTAGGGTGAGAGGGACCTATAGTCTTCTGGTGCCGGATATGCCGCCCCAGGAGACCCATCCTAGTTCTCGCTAGCGCGTCGCATTCACACAGTAGGTATTTTATGGACTTTACATGTTCTCCACATGCTCGACAGCTGTTAAGCCCATCTTGTGGAGCATATGGTTTGTAGTGTAGTGTCCTGTTAACGCACCCGTGATCACACGGGCTTGCCTTCTGTTTCCATTGAATATGAGTTTTTCCCATGATTACATGTTTCCCTTTAAGAATAATTTAGAGTGGCTCATACCGTTGGGCTTACTCATTCAGCTCTATGCCTCCTAGTTACATATTGCCTCATGGTCATGTGTGCGGTGCTTATAGATAAGGGCACTATCGGCTCTGGATCAATTGGTATCACCTCTGAGCCTTGTCTCGCTAGACTGTCGGCTCTCTCATTGCCTTCGATTCCTGTATGTATGATTAGGGTCACCCTGTTATGCCTTCCAAGTTTATTAAGTGCCGAGATTGCCTCAGAACGAGTCTAGATCCAACCCTCACTGAGGCAATGGCTTTGAGTGCTACCTGTCTGTCACGTAGGATATAAATGTCGCGCTTTTTATGCACATGTTCTATATTCTTAGTGCACACAAACATGGTT